CCCAGCTACTTGGAAGCCTGAGGCAGGAGAATCACTTGAACCCAAGAAGCAGAGGTTGCAGTGAGCCATTGCACTCCAGCATGGGCAAAAAGAGCAAAATTCTGTCCAAAAAAAAAAAAAAAAAAAAGAGGCTGGAAGATGTTAATTAAATGCAAAATTAAGGTGGAGTGGGTGAAGATGTTGATTCAAGGTCAGACTCCTTCTTCTCACTTTCCAGGCCAGGAATTGTTAAGCCATTTGCCTGGTGAGCAAGTGAAGAGGGGTGAGTGGCTGCAGACTCATCTGCCCTTTTCATGTACCTGCAAAGACATGGCAGAGCATGCCCTCAGACCACGGGGATTCTTCCCTGGGCTTGAAGGCAGAGTGAAGCAGTGAAGAACTCCATAGGCCCCAAAGCTGAGCTGGACTCCCATTTAAAGCTGTCAGAACAACAGTCTGAATTCTAAGCGGTTTGGTCTCAGAGGGCTTAAGGCTTCTCCTGGCTGCCTGAGGAAATGATTCATTTGGATAAACCCAGATTCAACTACAGAAAGTAATAGCACATTGCTCTTTGTCCTCCTGATGTCTGGAGAGCGTCTCCACTGCCCCACCCTGCCACACGTACCTTCCTCCCTCTCCCTTCAACCCCCATGTTACAAGCCTAGAAAATTCTCAGACACCTGCCATCCCCAGAATTTGTCAGAGACATTGGAGGATCCACCGGAGTCCAGCAGTGCTAGAGCCGGTTGTGTGAGATCCATTCAGAGGCATGGTTGTCATGGAAAAAAAGAACCCATGGGCCTTGCAAATAAAGGCCAGATTGCTGTAGACCTAGAAAGATTCAGTGCAGACATTAGGAAACCTTCTCTGTCTTCCTATCCTCCAGCTGCACCTACTCTTGGTGAAGTATCCTCCCTTCCTGGTTGCACTCTTGGAAAAAAGAAAAGGAAAGAAAGAGGAAGGGAGAAGGGGAGGCTGATTATAGGATTCACAGGGATTTCTCACTGGCCATGTCCACCCCCCTCCTATTCCCTGCCCATGCCTGATTGGGGCAAGGGTAGAGACACCTGACCCAATCTGGGCCAGTCAGGTTCTTCATCCTAGGAAGCAGAAGACATGAGTACAGTTGCACAGAAGCTAGGCATTGGAACTCACAGTGTTCATTGTCTTAGAGACAAAATCCAAGAGGAATTACCAGTAGTGGCGACGCTGGAGCTGCCTGGTTATTCAGGTTTCCCATTGAAACTGTGAACAAACATGATGTCCTTCATCTTGACATAGCTGGAATCAATTCAATTGTTTGCCTCTAAAGAAACTTAATTAGTAAAAGCTCTGAGCCCCCATTCCTTCTCCCATTCAGTACATACACAGTATTACGAGCATTGTTTTCTCTTTATCCAGCTCTCTCCCTAGACTAGAAGCTCCTTGGCGTCCTGACCGTGGATTGGTCTTGAGCCTTCGTCTCCCACCCACTCTTCACATAGCTGACTCTCACTCTTCCCTCAGGTCCCTGGTGAGACAGAAGGGGCCTTCTCTGACCACCACCTCGTGCATTCCTTGCCTGGGTGACGTGCGTCTGGAATGCGGTCCCATTGCACCAGGCACTTCCCTATGGTAATTTTTATCTATGTGTTCTATTTTTATCTATCTCCCACAAGGCTGTAACTCCTTAAGTCAGGAGTTCTTAAGGAGAACTTGTTCTATCTTCAGCACAAGTACAGTGCCTCGGACTTGGTAAGCACTCAGTAAATATTTGTGAAATGAATAAATGAATGACTAAAGACATATACTAATTTCCCTCCTCACAGGAAAATAATAGAAATTAATTACCTGGTTCAAATTATTTTTCGTCTCAATACAATCAGTCAGTCAACAAATTAGTACTAATTGATGTGCCAAAAACTGTATTAGGCACTATATGACTACTATAAAGATGCAAATATAGACAAATAGGGGAGGAGAAGATTGTCTTAAGAAAATCTAATATAATCTGTAACTAGGAACTCTAAGTTCCATTTTGCCTGTTCAAAGAAATCTATGCCTCCATTTTCTGTATCTTAAAACTGGACGTGTAGGAATTACCATTAAGGATTTATTGGGTTTGCAACAGGCTCGTGAATCAATGGATAGAAATCTCCAGAATAGTGCTAGGTTCAAATGAGGTAAAAACTTTTAGGTAAAATTCCACATCCAGACTGGTTAATACTTTGGGCCCCAGATCACTTCATTTCTGTCTCCCACCTGGCTAAGAAGAGCCACTGTACAAGACTGTGGGCTGAAAGGCTCCAGGACAGGTGGACAGGAGAGGGGTCTCTGAACCTCTGTTTCCAACACAGTCTGTCACTGTCATCCCTGCTAATCTGGCAGATGTTGAATTGAGAGAGGGACCTTTTCCCCTGCCCCCAGGCTAGCAATTACAGAAACCAAATTGTCTCTACAAGAGGCATTGTCACCCTGGTGTTATTTCAGCATAAAATAAATTGCACTGCCTATCAGCCTGATGGAGGCCAACACTCGCTGGCAGCTCCCAAAGGCCCCCAGAAAAGAGTCTACTCAGATGTGAAGACAAGTCAGCCAGCTGCAGCCAGCACTGAAAGTAACCCAGGGAGCATGATTCTGTCACGCAAGAACCTAGCATGTCTGGAAGGGCACAGCTTCAGCCTGGCACCAGCAACAATTCTGCCAGGCTGATCTATTTGTCAAGTCCCAGCAGAGATCAGGATAAACAATTCAGAGAGATACAGGGTAACCATGCCATAAATGTGCAGTCTGTTATTCTAGATGTGTGTTTGCACGCATGTGGAGTGGTGTGTGTGTGTGTGTGTGTGTGTGTCTGAGACTCTCTGACACTATCTAGTTCCAGTCTTCATCACCTCCTGCCACTGCTTCAATAACCTCTTAATGGGGCTTCTGACTCCATTCCTGACTCCATGTTCTCACTCCTCAGCAGTCTTCACCCATGTCTTAAAATTCGTGTTTCAAAATCACAGATCTAGTTATGTTAAATCATGGGAAATAGAGTCTAGTATTCACCACCGTCCTTGGCCCCAATTAACTTGTCAAATGCACGTCAAATTTTCTGGCACCCTGTACACCTGCCAAACTGAACACATCTCTGCTATAACATGCACCCCCATTTCAAATATTTAAATCCTACTGGCACTTTAAGATCCAGACCAAATATCCTCTCCTTCACGACAGTCTCCCTTTGATCTTCACTCTGCCGCTCCAAAAGCTGGAAGCTATCTCTTCTCCCCTCCAAAAAATAAAAAACAACCAGCGTATATTGAGTGCCTGTTATGTGCTTTACACTTTACGCACATCATGTCAACACTATTATCTCCTCATTCTATCGATGAAAAGGCTGAGGTTTAGACGATTTACCCAAAGCCACAGAACTCCTAAATTGCATAGCCAGAACTTGAACCCAGAACTACTGGCTTCACAGTTCATGCCCTTAATTACTAGGCAGCACTCTCTCTTAAGCTCTAAGGGATAAGTGGGGAGGATTATCTGTAATTTCCATCATCATCCCAAATAAATTTATAATCTAAGCAATGATCAATTTATTTTGATGCCAATAAAGCTTTAAATGTCAAGGCCCCTCATTTCAGAGACCCCTTCTAGGGTTCTGGGAGAGGCACAGGCTCTTATGTTTCTGTAAAACTTTCTAAAGTAATGTATTTTAACCGGAGATTGTTAAAGCAGGTAGACCCTTTCCATCTCAACCTCCCTTCATCACACTTCCCTTCACGTCAGTGGTGCCCAAGTGTCCATGGGCATTTAGGGTTCTATGTTCTATCTAATAGGGAGCTAATGGGAAAGCTGTTAATTGGGCTTGTTATATTTCATCTGGAATATAGTTAAGTTATCGCTAGCTGTCTCAATGTAGAAATGACTCTGGGAGTAGACTTACTACCAACTGTGCCAACTTACTTGGCATCATGACATAAAGGTGCAGGGCCAGAGGTTGTATTGTGTTGTGAACACACCCATGGAAACATTCCATGTTCTGATAAACACCTCACGCTGGAATTTATCAGAATTCCCGAGTGCCTGGGCACAAACCTGTAGCATAATCACAAAAGCAAGTACATCTGTATATGGAGTCACATGAGTTATGAATCCTAACTATCAATAATACAAAATAAAATCTGATCAACTGTGCTAGAAAGAAGACAAAGCTATCTTCCTATTCTCTCTTTAGAAAATAATATGGCAAAATTGTTGTCATATGAAGAAGCATTAGAGTATGCAACTAAAAAATGTAGGAAGTAGTGCTATAGAATTATGTCAGTCTGCTAGTTAGCATTTAAATTCCACTACTCTTCTGGACTTTGTGATGTCTGTGGTATTGTCAGCTTTTAGAATGCATAATTTGCAATGATCTGTTTTATTATTTAAAATAAATATTTAATTTTATACCAACTCTGTCTTCACAATTTTGTTTTGTTTTTCTAAAATAACCTCCCTGATAAGCATCAGGTCACCCCCAAAATAACCTAGATTGGCTTTGAATTTCAGTAAGAAAAGTGCTCTCGCTATGCAAACACCACTTTGAGTGCCCTTGCCCCTCTTTCGGTCCAGTTATGACTCACTGATGCCATTCTGTGTGGGTGTCCTTGGCCACAGATGCAGCTTCACATACCTCTCTCATGGCACTCATCACTGTTTATGTTATACTAATTCACATTCCTGTTTTATTTCTTTCCAGCAACCACCTGAGGATCTTACATGGCATTACACATAATAAATGTTTCAAAATGAAAGGCCTTATGGAGCCAGGAGACAAAGAGTAGACCAAGTGGAGGAGCAGGGAGGAGCCCTTCACTCCTGGGCCTACACCCTGGTGATGGCACAATATGTCTCTGATGTTTATCTTTTGTACACTCAAACTGCATAGGTAAAAGTTTTCCTTCTCTCTTTCCTTGTATCTCAATTCCTTACTCTCTCTTTGTCTCTCTACTTTCTATTCATTTTAGTCTGTTTTGTGTTGCTACAACAGAATACCTGAGGCTGGGTAATTTATAAAGAAAAGAGTTTTATTTTAGCTCATGGTTCTGCAGGCTGCAAAGTTCAAGGGCATGGCCATGGCTTCTGATGAAGACTTTCATGCTGCATCAAAATCAGGTGAAGAAAGTCAAAGAAGTGGACATGTGTGAAGAAGCAAAGCCCTGGGGGTGTCCTGCTTTTATAACAACCCACCTCAAGGGAATATTCCTGTGAGACCTAAGCCAGTCTAGTGAGACCTAGAATTCATTCACTATCTAGAGAATACTAAGCCATTCGTTAGGGATCCCCTTCTGTGACCCAAACACTTCCCACTAGGTCCCACCTCCCAACACAGTGGGGATCAAATTTCAACATGAGTTTAGGTGGGAACAAACGTAAATCATAGCACCATCTTTCTCTCCTCTTTCTGGCCCTGATGCTAATAGGGTTAATATGGCAATCTTTGAAAGGAGCAGGACCAGAACACAGGGGACAATCATAGTCCCAAATCTTCGCATCCTAGGCAGAGAATTCAGGGAAGGAATCTAAAGTTAGGCAGCATTTCAGGGAAGGGATAAATTTGACGGAGCCATGTGTTTCTCCATCATAATGACTTGAACCACTAAGGACCCACCAAAACCGTGAAGAAGGCAGCCTGGGTCATCATAGAAAACTACTACACGCGACTGGGCAACGACTTCCACATGAACAAGCACGTGTGCGAGGAGATCGCCATTATCCCTGGCAAGAAGCTCCACAACAAGAGAGCAGGCTATGTCACGCATCTGATGAAGGGGATTCAGAGAGGCCCAGGAAGAGTATCTCCAACAAGCTGCAGGAGAAGGAGAGAGAAAGGAGAGACAATCATGTTCCCGAGGTCTCAGCCCTGGATCAGGAGATCATTGAAGTAGATCCTGACACTAAAGAAATGCTGAAGCTTTTGGATTTTGGCAGTCTATCCAACCTGCAGATCACTCAGCCTACAGTTGGGATGAATTTCAAAACACCTTGGGGACCTGTTTGAATCAATGCTGTATTATTTTCAATAAACCTGGGACAAAAAAAAAAAAAAAAAAAACAATTCAATACACCAAGTTTTCCTGAAAGCAGGGGCCAGTCTCATCCGTGACAAGTGAGGTTGGAGGTCTTCCACTGGAGCAAAGCTGAGCAACGAATTCCATTTCAGAGATCACAAGACGTAGTCCCCACCCAGGAAATGTGTCTTCCATCCAACTAGATGAGAATGAAAAGGAAAAGTATTCAAACTGCACAATTACTGTCTGGCTAAATTAATTGCTGCATTCATCTAAATTGATTAGACACTTTAATTAGAAGGGCCTGGTTATTTCCCGAAATTGAATTTTTGGCATGTGGGTGTTATGTGCACATGTGTGTTTGTTCTAGCAGAGCCAGCACTGGAGCAAATCTACAATGATATCTTTCTCCAAAGATGAAAAGAATGACAGTCAGTTAGGAACCAGCCCTCTCTCCACAGACCTCCATCCCCAGGGAAAGGAGGGATGGAGATTCCCCCAACCTGGAAGGACAACCATGGCATTCTCACCTGGCCACCACAAGAGGCTTTGCAGATGGGGAAAAAAATAAATAAATAAAACATCTGTGGGCTTAGGAGCAGCTGTGAGAGGAGAAAGCGGGTGTGGAGGAAAGAAAGGGAAGTGTGTAATGGAAGAATGTTAAATTCAAAGCTTTCCTTTGGTTTATACTAGGTATGGAATTTCCCAAATTAGCCTGTAGAATGTGCACCCCGAGGGGGCAGCAGAGCACTAACTCTTGAGAAGCCAGCAGACCAGTTACTCCATTTGGCCAGAGATAAGCTGTGGTTAAAAGGGGTATTCAGTGGCAGGAGGAAGAGCAATCTGAGTAGAAGGACAAAATTTGAACCACCCTGGGCCCTTGGAAGGCCAGTGCCAACAGGGTGGGTAGAAGAGCCGAATGGAAATAGGAAAAGGAGGAACTGAGCAAATTAGGGCTAAAAGCAGGTTGTCCCAAGTCTCAGGAGACAAAATGGAAGTTAGATAGAATTCCTGAATAGACCCAGCAAGGTGCAAGACCTGTAGTCTGAACAGAATCAAGGATGGAGCAGCCAGGCCACCACCCAAATGCCATCTATAAAGAGAATCAAAATATCCCTGGAGATTTACGAAGCTGGAAAGGGTTTGCCAGGATTCCTCTCAAGAAGAGAACTGTAGGAGTTGGTGGGGTACTTTGCTATGCCTCACTGAGACTGGAGTGGGGGTGGGGGTGGTTGGAGAAAAAGAAGATAACTCAGAGATGAAGGAGGCAAAAGCAGAGAATGTCCTGGTGAGAGATGCTTGTTAGACCATCCCCCCCTTTCCTGTGGGGCTTTTATTTCACTAGGAAACATATGCAAGTTTGGGGCCAGCACTGAATTGCTGGGGATAAGAGAAGAGAGGCAAGTCCAGCCACCACAAGTTCCTGCTCCACCCTTCCCCTCAAAGCTCTCAGCCTTGCCTATAAAACTGAGCCAACTGGAAGGGAACCAAATCATAATTCTGCCCAGGTCCCCTATCTAAATCTGGCCCTGCTATAGCAGACCGTGTCCATAGAGTCCTAATGCAGGTGGGGCCCTCCTTCTGTTTTTTGTCCCATTTACCTACTTAAGGGCCTGGAATAGTAGAGACTTGAGCATGTTTTTGAAAAGCCGAGGAAAGCTTTTCCTTTGTCTTCCCACACTGGGTTGGAGAAAGAGCCTTCAGCCTGGAGGCACAGAGAAAGAGGGCTTCGATTCCGTGATTCATTTCACCTCAGAGCTTGCAAGTGCGTTTGAACAGCAACTCTGCATTCAGCTCCTAAGGTTTGTTTCACAGCTGTTGTGAGTGATGGTGAGAACTGCTGTTCGTGGTCATGCAGGTGATGGAGCGGAGGCAATGAGATTGTCTCTGGTCAGGGAAAAGGTAATCTCATTTTGCTCTGTCTCTTTGATCATGGGAGCAGGTAGGAAAATGGCATTTCATGCAGGTTACTCCTTTATGCTGCAACTGATGATAATGGTCATTTAACTTTTTCTGAGTACCAAAAAGCTGCTAGGCATTGAGGAGCCTCTCCCCACCTTAGAAACTAAATTCGGCAGACAGGCATAAAACTGTTTCAGGGAAAGGCAAACGTATCAAGTTTGTTTCACCCATAAAAAGAAGGGGTATGGCCAAGTCTTACGTTTCTCCCACGGGTCATTTTGGTACTAGGCAGCTAGGACCATTTAATCTGACCCTCTCAAATGAGAAGACTCTAAAAACCCTTCTGCCCCACCATTCCTGTACCTTTTCCCACCACACCCCATCAAAATCCTCCTGTAAGGATAAAGGAAGCTAACAGACTCAGTGTACTTAAAGAAAGATTGCTTTTCTCTGGTCTCAGTTTTCTTATCTGTAAAATGACAAAGTCAGACCAGGCGATCTCTTGTGGCTCTGACTTCAGATGGACCCTCAAAGGGAAGCAGCCTAAGGAGAAGGCTGAGATCAGCTCTTGAGCTGTTGGATGGGCCTCAGCTGTGGCTGCAGATTAAGGAGAGCGTGGAAGAAGAGGAGAAAGAGAGGGTTGAAGGAAACTATCTTAAAAGGAGTCTTTAAAGTGTGTGAGGTTCTATCTCTGAGCCTTCAATTGAAAGCAACTTGAAATGGAAACTCTGAGTGGCTTGAGTGGGAACAGCCAGGGTCTTCTTGGAGCGCATGTGGCACTTCATGAGGTCCCAGCAGAGCCCGGACCTGGGATGGTGTTTGCTGCCCCCTGAGGGTATAGGCCCACTGACCCCCGTGGTCAGCCATGGAGAGCCCAGGGTCCAGGTCAAAGCATGCAATTGGTTCCACTCTGAGAGGTGCAGTGAGGCATGGCAGCTGCAGAGGCCTGAGGACCTTTCTCTCTGGTGCCAGGAGACAGAAAGATGATCTGGCAGACTCTAAAAGCACTAAAGCCGGGCGACAGTGTCGGGGGGAGGAAATGGAAGACGTGATGCCTGTGGGAGGTTTTATGGAGTGATGGTAATAGCCCCTTCATTTATACAGAGCATTCCAGTTTATAAAGCCCTCTCATATCCATTACCTCATTTGAGCCTCTGTGAAGCTCTAAGAGGCAGGCAGAGTGAATGTTCTTTTCTTCTGTTTCATAGGTAAGGAAGCAGGAGGGTAGATGAGTTAAGTCACCTGCCCAAGGTCACACTGACAGCTCATGACAGGGCAGGATGATTCCAGCCACTGGGGAAGTAATGCCAGACTGGCAGACAGATGGACCCGGGCCCCATCCCTGCTCTGCCCTGAGGCCATTGCTTCTTTGAGCAGTAAAGCTCTGAGCATTACGGTTTTGATCTACAAGACTGGATAATAGTAACAACTGGAGCAATTAAGGCAGATGATATGTGTACAGGGCCCAGGCCCAAGTAGGCAATCAGCATGTCTACTCTCCTCCGTTCCTCTGCTAGCATTTAAGAACCTTCCTTCCATGGGGTAAATAGGGAATGGGGTCATTATACCTCTAGATAGGAGTATGCATCTTGGGGTCAGACAGGCATGGTTTCTAACACTGCTTGCCACTCCTGGCTATGTGATCCTGGGGCAAGTCACTACAGTCTCTGGCAGTGACTTCTCTAGAAAAAGAGGACCCCGATGCCCACCCCCAGAGAACATTTGAAAGTTAAGTGAGAAAGTACATCCTGCACCAGCACCATGCCTGTCTTAATAAATGCAGTTCCCCCCTTTTTTCTTCTTACCACTATAGCACACGAGATAGTCATCTTCCTGAAGCCTGCGGACAAATCCCAGAGAGCTAAACAGAGTTTCCAGGCTCTTGCGGTGCCACGCCCCCACAACCTGGAATTCATAATAATAACTACTGCTGCAGTTATTATTATTTACCAAGTACTTACTCTGCCTTAGACAGCCATGTTTAGTGGCTTCTTTAATTCTTACAATAACGTAGAACTATTAGCTCAGCTCGGTGTTTTGCAGATGAGATAAGTGAGGCACAAAGAATTGAGGAACTTACCCAAGGCTTTACAGATAACAGTGACAGAGCTGGGACTGAGCTTTAAAGCCAGAGCTCTTAACCTAACTAACCTCTAACTAACGCTTTGCCTATTTCCTGCTACAGGCTTGGGGGCAAAGGCCCTTGCTCCTCGTGATGCCCGCAATGATGCCTCCTTGAGGATGGAGAAACTGAGCACGCTGAGAAGCACCCTGGCCAAATTGAAAAGGCCAGATGTAATCAGGTATGCAAATGCCAGGATTCTACTTGCTAAAGAGGTTCCAGGTTGAGTTACCTTTGAGAAACTGGAGAATGTGGATGATCCTGGAAAGCCGATTAGCACACAAAGAGATATTATCCCCTGCCCAAAATCCCAGGCAGCTGTAAAGATATTGAGAAAATTTACTCTGTGTACAAATTATTCAATTATAGAATCAGCCAATGAGATTAGTAGTAGGAATGAAGGTGTAAAGTCCCCCCTTGCAATCTGGAGAGGAAAGACTAGTGTGAGACCGCCTTCCAGGGCAACTCATGGGCCACGGCAGATGAAGTGTCTCGTAGAGGTCCGGATGCTCACTGCCCAACATAGAGCACTGCCCTTTGTCAATGTTCAAGAAAAATAGTTGAAATCATGAGTAAACCAACAAAATAATTCTCTTGCCAAAAGGTAACAAAGAATCTGGAATGTTTCCCAACATCCCATATCTTAGGAGATTCTGAGAGAACCCCAGTCCTTAGGAGACACTTGGAAAAGAACTTCTTGACTGTGTAAAATAAGAAATAGATGAATGAAGAATGAGGGAGGATATGCCAGCTCTAAGAAAGTGACTCCTAAATGTCAGGCCAGAGCTAGAGGAACACCTCTCTAGAGAAAGGGAGATGAATAGAATGGCATCTGCCATCTGAATCCAAAAAAATGCAAGAAATTTAACAGAAAAGGGTCAATCTGATGGAACATGAGATGTTAGCACTTGATTTTCTAACATACTTAACTAGATGCTGAAGTATGAGAAAAATCAGAATGACACACCCCCATCATTCTCCTGCTCCCCCACCTCAACCCCATCCAAAATGTCAGGGGTTTCTCATCAAGTGACAATTCTACAGGACCTACCCTGAAGCAAAGTCCACACTGGTTACACCTGTGGGACAATTCTCATCAGAATGGGTCTGTTTTCCAGCTCTGGGCCCTTATTTGTAAAAGTCCTCTTCTTAGAGCTGACGGTCACTTCAGAAAGCAGCAAAAAACAGCTACAGTTCAGAGGGTGCTTCCTAAGTGTCAGGAGCCAGGGCAAGGGCTCACATGAATTCTCCCATTTTATCCTCAGAATAAGCCAATGGGATTTGCTATATAAGTAGCCCCATTTTACTCAGAAAAACCCTAAAACTCAAAGAGGTTAAGAATTTGATCCAGGTCACATGATTAATAAATGAAGGATCTAGAATTTGGAAACCCCAAGGCACTGAAATTTCCCCCAAATATAATGCAAAAGACAAACCAAACTAAATCATAAAGTACACATAAAGAAATCCACAAAGTTCTTGTTTTCCCCATGATTGTTTTAAATAAAATGTTTTAGAATCCTTCATTGACTATTGAGTCATGTACCAGGATACGAATTCAGTTCTGTCTATTCTAGGCCTGAGTTCTTAACCCCTATCTTTCACTAGTAAGATAACTTTGCTTTTCCCCAGCATCCAGAGCCTCCAAGCCCTTCCAAGAGGCCAAAACATTTGATTTTTCTCAGAAGAGTTAACAAAGTAGATATTACATGGGGTTGGGGGCAGATGGGGAGGGTGATTGAGGTTGCTTGAGCTCAAATCTTAGGAGATTATAGAAAATCTGCTGGTTCACCAGCCACTTGGAGGCCTTATCTGAGCCAAAGTAATCACCTGCAGAAGGGCAAAGTCATCCAGAGCTGCAGCCAGTGTGGGAAGATGTTTTTCTTTCTCTTTGCCAGAGCTGAAGAGCTTTTGCCTCTGTAATCAGCTTCTGTGAAGGAGCTGACACTCAGACTTGGCTAGGAGGGCCCAGCAAAGGCCGGGGCCCACAGGATCCTGTCACGGTGGAGAATCTAGGGATGTTCTGATGCTGCCTTCCTCACACTGAACAAGCTGAGTTCAGCCCCAATTTGAGGACCAGACTTCATGGATCCCAGGGGGTTGTGATCCCCAGCTGGGATGCACAAGTCCAGGGTAATGGGAGGAAGAGCTCAGATGGAAGGACTGACACGGGGATAGCAGATGTGCCAGACTTCATTCTTCATTCTGTATTTCGTGCAGGAGGCCCTTTCTATTGAACCTGCCTTGCCGCCACCACTCCTCCACCACGGGCCACCCATTTAAGGATTAGCCCTGTCACTCAGAGAGGAGCACTCACATTTGTGGAATGTGATTCTGTCCCCAATGGCAGCTGATGGACCAGAGTGGGCACTTAACCTCAGCTGTGCCAATCACGCTTGTCTTCTATAAATGTGGTCAGGTAGAACTGGAATATGGGTTGGTGCAACTGGAGCTTAGAGAGAGAATTAATGCCAGGGAAAGGGTGACCATATTCTGCTATATATAGAAAAGAGCAGAGAAAACTTGTCTGCCAAGAACGAGGAAAATGAAGCAGGTGCACAGGGAGAAAGAGATGAGACCACATCGCTTGGCCAGTAGCTGTCCCAGTTGCTGATAACTTTCGAATCCCTGGCTCTTGACTCAGTGAAGCCAAGCTTTATGTCCTGCCCCTAGGTCTAGGCTCATCTCCACTCCATAGAGTTTCCTTCTTCCTTAAGCTCCTCTGAGTCCATTTCTATTATTTGCAATCAAAAAAGGAGTCTTGAAAAGCAATTAACATTATCATTCTGATTAGAAGTCTACTAATGGTTATTGATTACCTATTTTGTGCCAGGCACAGTTCCAGAAATATTGCCAAGGATTTATCTCACTTATCGTCATCTTCATCAGCAACATCATAAACGTTAGCATCAAAAAGTGTTTATGAAGAGCCTGCTTTTGTGTAACACTCAGCTAGACACAAAGACAGTGACACGGGTCAGGTCCACCTCCCCTGACAGCTTTCTAGATGGGTATGCTGATGTTAAGACAAACGTACAGGGCATTAAATGAAGACATGAAGAGACAGTGAGATATTTGCCTCATTATCAAGAGCTAGGTAAGGATAAGGAAACTGCTGAGGGCATTCTAAGTTGGGGGTGAGGGGCTGAATCCCAGGTGAGAGAAAGCTTTAGGCTTGCTCAGTTTGGACAAGGAAATATAGAGAAAGGAACATAAAAGAGGCTGCAGGACTGAGTCAGTTACAGGGGCCGTCTTTGCCCATCGGGAGCCTCTGTATGGTCTCTGAATCCAGGAAGGAAGGAGAATTGAGGGGAGACAGAAGCAGGCAGCCGGGCTGGAAAGGCTGAGAGAAGGACCAAAGAGAAACCTTCAGTGTTGGTATTGATCCATTTGGCAGATCTCGATAAGCCTCTGAGATGCAAGTAATGGAGTTAGCAGACAGCTGGTAGGAAAGAAAGCCTGGAAGAGATAAACAGACAAAGCAGAAGAGTAGAGACGAAACGAAAAGAGAGAGCCAAAGTAATCTAAAGATATAGGAAAGAAGCAGAAGAAGAAAAATAAGATAAGAACAGAGGGTGCAGGGTGGGATCAGAGGTAGAAAAGGCCAAGGACTAAAAAATATAAAAAAGGACAAAGAAAAACAAAAACTGAATTATAGAGGGTCAGTGATAGAAGCAAAGAAAGCAGGGCTCAGGCCAGGCACAGTGGCTCAAGCCTGTAATCCCAGCACTTTGGGAGGCCGAGGCAGGCAGATCACGAGGTCGGGAGTTCAAAACCAGGCTGACCAATGTGGTGAACCCCCATCTCTACTAAAAATACAAAAATTAGCCAGGCGTGGTGGTGGCACATACCTATAGTCCCAGCAACTCAGGAGGCTGAAGCAGGAGAATTGCTTGAACCTGGGAGGCAGAGGTTGCAGTGAGCTGACATTGCACCACTGCACTACAGCCTGGGTGACAGAGTGAGACTCCATCACAAAATAAGAAAGCAATGATCAGAGATACATAGGACAGAGAGTGTACAGAAGGAAAAGACAGAGGAACATTAGTCTAAGCTTTGGAGAGGGAGAATGGGAGGTCAGCAGAACCCTTGAAAACAAGATAAATTCTGCTCTCCTGGCAGACCTTATCATCGCCCTTGGAGACATTTCCATTCACTTCATCTTTCTGGCTGGAAACCTTTTAAAAGTCTTTTTCTCTCCTCCATTCTGCGTATGGATAGCTAGGCACAGTGCGTTGTCATTCTTCCATTTACTTCAGCTTAGCCAGCAACTGTCCAGAGCTAACATCTTCCAACCTGTAAAGAAATGGGCATTCCTGTTCTTCATGCCATCTGACCTGAGGCTACCCATGCCCCAGACCTGCCAGGAGCCCTGATGCCACCACATCTCGGAGATAAGAAGCACCAGCCATCAGAGTGATTTAGGGATGTAGCTTGTTTTTTCTAGCAGTTGCTGGAGTTTCTGTTCCCTCTGCCAGCCTCGTTGAGCTTTTCTACAGCCCCAGGATCTTAGCAATAAATTTCCATTTAGCTATGAGAAATGACTGCTGCTCCCATCTCCCTCCTCTCACCCGCACCGCCTTGTTCTGAAGTCTCCCTCTCTGAGTACCTCAAGGGCCTCCCCTTTATGTGGCACTGGCAAGTTCTGCCATTTACAGTCCCCTAGAGCTGGTCTCGTTCTAGAACAGACTGATTGTGACCCAGAGGGCAAGAGAGGCTGGGTTGGGAGACAGATGAAGAGAAGAGAAGGGCTGGGCGGCAATGTGACCCAACCTTCCTTAGGTAAAGCCCTTGATGACACACAGTACAAGCAGGAAGAGGAAATTTGAATAATAAGAGGCTGATGGCAGAGGGGGAAGGCAGAGGGGAAAGAAGGAAGAGGCAAAAGTTGTTCATTAGTTGCATTGATTCAAGGGGAAAGAGAAGTGATTAAATAATTTGCCCCCAAGGAAGAAGCTCCTGTTCCTGCTTTCCTTCCTTGGCAGGAAGCAGAGATAATTTCTTAGCTGAGTGGTTCTGCCTTGCTCCATCTGAGCTGGGGTTCGTAAGAGGAGGGGAAGCAGGGCTCAGGAGCGGGACTCCACAGCCAGCTCCCGGCAATGCATACTAATGAGGGAACAGCTGTGGGGTCAGCATCCAAAGTGGATGGTCCCCAAATCACCTCTCTCCCTCTTTCAGGGATTTATTACATGAACCATAGGTATGCTGAGCTCAGTTAAGCCTAACCTTAATACGTGGTCTAACATAAAAACCTCTATTCCCCAAGGATAGGTCACGTGACTAAGGGAGGTGGGAGGGGAAAAAAGATGGACAGCTAGACACCATCAGGGCCGGAAAGTTTTACTTCTGCAAAGTGAGCAATCTTCATTCTCAAAGGTAAAAGTCAGTGTCACAGTACTCAGAGGGGAGAGAACATAGGCATTTATGATGAGCCTACTATTGTTGATTATTGATTGACTAATGTGTCTTGTCCCCCTGTTATCAGCCAGGCACAGAAGTTCAGAACCAGGAAGACACAGTTCCTCAAGGTCTTTCAGTCTATCTAGAGGGACAAAGTGTCAACCAGCAATTTCCTTCCAGTATGGTAAGGGCTGAGATGAGGGGATGTACAGTGAGTGAAAGGGTGGGCCAAGACTGAGGCTTCCTGGAAGGTTTCCAGAGAAGGAGTAGGCTGAGTCCTCTTCGTGGGGCTGACTTTGTCTGTTGGAGTTAGTTCAGAAGTTGCCCCTGGTCTGCTGCCCCAGATGTTCTAGACCACACTTCTGAGCCAGTTCACAAATTCAAGGAAGGGCTCTGTGAATGTGTGTGGACACACACAGGTGTGCACTTATATGGGGCAGCTGCTATGTAACTGGACTTGGGCTGTCTTCCCACCTATTTCCTTTTGCAACCCTGTGATTGGCTCACACCCCAGGCCCTACCTGCTGGCACAGGTGTGCTCCAGGCACTTTACAAGAGAACACGGCAATCTTAATTAGAGCCCTCCCCCACACGGCTTTCCACGACAGAACTTTGGCCTGCCAACTCAGTATCACGTTTTTGGCAGGTAACAGGCAACTTTTAGAGGCATTCTTTTTCAATGCACTCCTTAATATATAGAGTCTTAGAATAAAGTGCAAATTCAGCCTGGGGAGACAAGAAGACCCGGCTGCCCCTGGGATACTCTTGCCCTCAGAGAGAAGAAGAAGGGGGTCTCCTTCCCAGTCTTCTTCCCTCACATTCTTCTCTCATTCTTGTCCAGGTGCATCCACTTCCTTTTCAACCAAGGATTTGGTAGTAGCTAATTCAAAAAGCAAGAGCAGATTTTTTCTCCATAAACAGCATTCCAGAGGGAACTGAAATTTAGTAACTCCCAAGTGAGCTAAAAAAGAAGTTGGAAAGTCAGATAATTCATCACGAATTTCCAGGATGACTTCATGCTCTCCCTTTTCTAGTCAGGTGATTTAAACTTCTGCTTCCCAGGTAAGGTCTCACAACAATTGCACCTGTAAGGTCTCACAACAATTCCTGGAGAGCTTTGCCTTGGCTCTGCCTTCTCCCTCCATGGGTACGTACTTGATGGGCAAGACCCAGTTGTCTAGGATGGAGAGAACACCAGCAATGTCCCTCTCTGCCCTAATTTTTCCACTAACTTCCAGAACCAAACCAGACTTCACTTTTCCATTTTCTCAGATGAAGCATATGCTCTGACTGCTCCCTCCACTGCACCCCACACACTAACATACCAAGGTCCCTAGAAGGCAGCCCAACAGGTTGATCAAATTTAACCAATGGCAGCGAACTTTAAACAAGAAGCTCTGAACATTGCAAATGGTAGCCTCTTCCCTCCCAACAGTTGCAGCCCAAGGTGCCAATGGCCATTTAAGAAACTGGACTTTTCCCAAAGTAGCCGCCTTGCACATATGCACACACAAGTGTGCACACACATATTCAGAGAATCCTTCCTTGACTTGAGCGGGAGTTAGCAAAGGAAAGGAGGCGTGAGTGTGGCCAGCATGGGCACAGCCGTGGTTAGGAGCAGGGACACAGACTGGCCCGTTTAACTGAGGGTTTCTTACATCATTTCGTCTACACTTTTTGGCTGAGAACAATTTAAAATAGCTGCCAAGTTCTAGAGTTGAGATCCAGGTGTTAGGAGTTGGGGAGCATTGCGAGGTCTCCCCTTTCTAGACACTCACTTTCTCTAAGAATTGAAGCATACAAGGAACCTGAGATATCATGTAAGCCAAGCCCCTGAGCCCCAAAGACGTTAACCAGGTCAAGGTTAGTGTAAAACCTAAAGCAGACCTCCAGGTTCAGGCTCCCAGAACCAGGCTTTTGTACCATAACACAGCCACTGGTTCTTCCAAATTAGGTATGGCGGAGAGCAAAGCAAGGATGAAGACTGACAGAGAGACGTTCACAATAATAAGCAGAAGAGCTATTTTGGGACCCACCCCCAAGCACTGTTGCAGAAATCAATCACAAAGCATTTATTGGTCAGCTACTGTGCACTTAACCCTTTTCAAGGCATCGTAGAGACTGCAGAAAAGGAACAAAACCAGGGAAGGACCCAGTACAGTCTCTGGTCCCGACTCACATCACAGGCACTCATGAAATGATTGTTGCCTTCCATGAAGTCATAATAATGTTGACCAATATTCATTGTCTGCTCGTGTGTGCCAGGGACCCTGTTCTAAGCTGCTGCCATACATTAATTTATCTCGTTCCATCCCTTCCACAACATTAGAGGTAGGTGCTTTGTCCTACCATTTTTCAGATAGTGAAACTGAAGTGCAGAGAGGTGAAGCCCAAGGCACACGCCTAGTAAGCGGTCATAAGATTGTGCATTCAAGCACCAATTACGGAAGACATGAGACACACACATTCTACATCCCTAAACCTCATGCGAAGATTGGGTAGAACACTGACTACCTCACACTGCCGCTGTAAGGGTTCACCACATCCTGCCCGGTGGGCCTGAACACTCATTCTCCACGTTGTGTAACGTACCCCCTTCTCTCTGAGAGCCCAGCGCAGGGGAGGAGAACGAACACACACATGCACACCATCAAAAGTGAACAGTGCCTCCATTTCCTTACCAGCAAAATGAGGACAGTGCTGCTGTTTACCTCATAAAGAATAGACTGCATAAAACAAAAGAGCACTTAAAAGAGAGCTTGGCACCAAGTATGCACTTAGTAAACATTAGCTATTCTCATTATTATCCTCACTATATCATCGTCCTCATCATTATTATTGGTTATGGAAATTCACTATGACTAGACCAGAAAACTGGGCTGGAGTGTTGGAATTGCTTTATGAAGGAATGAATGGGGAAACGTGGCTAAGAATCATGGGGCCACTGGGAAGAGCTGGTATTTCGAACAAACAGAAGCCAGGGACGCAGAACTCCAGCCTCACTCATGGGCAGGGGACATTTGTCTAGGACTGGAAGAACTTTCACTACTTTCCCTTCAAACTGTGGGCAGTGGGAACTGTGGCACGTTCTTCCTGATGGCCCTGGCTTGGGAACACCAACCCTGGGGAGGGTGACCTTCCTGAGAAGGGATCAAACCAGCTGGCCTGAGGCTCTTGGAGAAGTAAGGAATTTACATCCTGGGAGCCTCACAGAGCTACTCCCTGCTGCAGCTCCTGGACATAATGACATTTCTGTCCCCTCTCCCCACCCTACCTTCCCTCAGCCCCAGCCACAATGGCAGCTGCTGCTGGTTGGATGTGAGATTTGTATGCTGTTTACAGTGCTGCCTTTTTATTCTTGAACCTGAAAGCTTTACTGGGTATTAAATTCCAGCATCAGATTGCTGTTTGTGCTCCCGAGTGAAAGAAAGAGAAAGAGAGCTTTAATGCTTTCCAAAAAGTAGGGCCTGAATCATTTATGAGGGACATCACAGGAAGCCCAGAGCTGGTATTCGGACAGGAGTTGCTTCAAGAAGGAAAATGTTTACTGTGGAAGGTCCAGCTCTGCCCTCACCCATCAATCCCTAAGCCCTTGTTAGCAGTATTACATGAATTGCTCCTTTCATTATTAAAGAACATCCTGGTGGTGGAGGATGCCGTGAGAGGAGGCTGCCCACTACATTAGGACGAAGCCAGCTCCAGCAGTTATCTTCTGTGATAAGAGAGAAGCTCTTCCCTGGCTGCTGCGGTTTAGTTAGCTTTAGCTTTGTTCTTGTTGGAATTTAAGACCACTTGTGACTCTCCAGGGGCTGGCTGAGCCACCGGTGGGTGGGCTGCATCAGTGAATTAAACCCAAGTAGATTGTGGCTCTCAGTCACTTTTCCCAGCCCCAACATCAGGTGAGGAAGGTGCAGATTCCAAGTCAAACAGCTCCTAGGATGTATTTTTTTTCCCTTGGAACCACTAGCTCAATCTTTTTATTAGAAAGGTGATAATCAGAAAGCAGAATGTTTCATTTAGAATCACAAAATTACAGTGCTGAAAGGAACAGGAGAAAAACGGAGCAAGAGTTAGCGTCATGAGCATCTGGGGTAGGTCCTTCTCCATACCCAAACCATCCCTCTCCTACTTCATCCCCAAGCAAGTCTGTAAGTGTTTAGAATAAAATGCAGCTTCCATTCCTCTACACAACTGGAAGGACTTTGTAATTCCTAGCCACCATGAACGGGCCACCCTTATGTGTACCCTTGGGGCAGCCGAGACAGTGAAGTACAGAATGGACAGGAAGGACCAGAAAGTGCTTGCCAGGGCTGGCCTCCAGCACAGGTGGGTGTCTTCCAGGTCCTGCAGAACCCCTCTAAGGAATACTGCAAACCCAAGGAGGACCAAGAAGCCTGATGGCAGGGCACTGGGCAGGACTCTTCCTACATCTGGGAAAATAGGGTGATCTCCCTCTTTGGCTGAGCTGGCAGAGCTGTTGGGGAGCTCACAGTAGCCATGTTGGTGATGACACCTCACATCCCAGAAAGCAAGGGCGGTGGCTCCTGCTCTGGCTCTGTCACTAACAAACTATGGGATTTGGGGAAACTTCATCTTCCCACCCTTCTGTTCCTCCTCCTAGACGAAAGGAGTGGTGTCTCCTAAGAGCTCCTCCGCTTTGTGATTCTGGGTGGCCCTCTCGCCCGGGCCCTAAGTCTGCTGGTCCTGGGTGGCCACTGGTGGGACCTGAAGGGGTGGGGAGAGGGGAACAGCAGAGATATCTGTCCAGCCTGCTCTGAGGCCCACATCTCCACCCTTAGTAGGAGCCTGGTGCTAACAGCTGGATGCTAAGAACAGTCATCCACAGACGCCTCACAATCTGGAGTGAGTCTCTAGCAGGGAATGAAATGTCCCAGCAGCAAGAACATCAACAACCTCCCCTCAGTCTTTGAGATCAGGCTGAGAGAAGAGTCTGATGCACCAATGTGCCATTCTTGCCTGGTAGCTGGTTTACTTCTTAGAAGAGAAAACTACCCTCCCCACTCTCCCTACTTTTTTAGGCTGGAGGCTCCCTCCTAAAAAGTCCTGAGGAATGTTCGCCAAATGCCAAATCCAAGTCAGTTTGGAGGTCTGGCACTGTTCCAATGTTCTGGTAGGCAAAGTGAATGGGGAGGGAGGACTGGGTGTTCCAGAGGCTGGGAGGGCAAGAGCACAGAGCGCCCAGCCAAGGGAGAAGAGCATGACCCAGGGGTGTGTCCTAGAGGATGCATCCTCGGATGGCCCAAGATGGGAAGCCAAGGGGGCTCAGGAGGCACAAGAGTCTGATGCCCAGGGTGAGGGAGCATCTGGGCAGAAATGTAAGGCTTGCAACAAGATTCTTTTAGTAGGAAGCAGAGCAATACACAGAAAATTGTGTCCTGGGAGCCAGAAGCGAATGGCCGTCTGCCAGCTCACCCCAAATTAGGCCCTCAGTTCATCCTCTGAGAGTACAACAGGTCAAGAGAATCCCCAGGAGGCTGGACCACACATCACAGAGTTCTTTTCAGCCAAGGTGTACAGAATGCTGACAAATAGCCTATTCCTCTGGAGGGAGCGCAGTGGGGAGAAGAAGAGGGAGCTGTTGCTTTCAGGTTTGGAGGAAAACATCTATTGAGGGATCTGAGTCTCTTCCCCTTTCTGATCTCAGTTTCCTCCACTGTCAAATACAGGAGCAGGATTTGAGAGTTCCCAAAGCTCCTTCCATCTCTGACATTTTGAGAGCCTATGATTATTATGAATAAATAAATGAGATTATGCAGTATTTGTCTTTCAGCATCAGGCTTGTTTCACTTAGCATAATGTCATCCAGATTCATCCACGTTGTCACAGATTACAAGATTTTCTCCTTTTTAGGGCTAAATAATATTCCATTGCATACACAGATCACATTTTGTTTTATCCATTCATCTGTTGATGGACACTTAGGTTGATTCCATACCTTAACTACTGTGAATAAGACTGCAGTGAACATGGGAGTGCAGGTATCTCTTCAACAAATTAATTTCATTTCCTTTCGATATCTACCCAGCAGTGGGATTGCTGGATAACATATTTTTTAATTTTTTTCTACTTTTAATTTTTTGAGAAACCTCTATACTGCTGTCCATAATAACTACTAATTTAAATTTCCACCAAGAATGTACAAGAATTACATTTCCTTCACATCCTTGCCTCCAAAAAAGTCAAACTTATAGAAGCAGAAGGTAGAATGGTGGTTGCCAGGGGTTGGGAGTGGTGGTGGGGTTGGGGGAATAGAGTGATGTTAGTTACATAGCACAGAGTTTCAGTGAGGCAGAAGGAATAGATTCTGGGGTCTAATTCACAGCACAGTGACTGAAGTTAATTATGTATCACACACTTGAGAATTGCTAAAAGAGTCTGTCTTAAATGTCCTCATCACAAAAAATAGTATGTGAGGTGACGCACGTGTTAACTAGCTTGATTTAACCATTTCATCACCTATACATATATCAAAACAGCTCATTGTACATGATAAATATATAACATTTTTACTTGTCAATTATACCTTAAGAAACATTAAAGCAGTAAGGAAACAAAGAGAAGAGACAAAAAGAGGAAAGTAAGAAAGAAAAGTTTGAGGGGAAAAAGAAACAGTAAGGTTGCAGAAGAGTGGGGAAAGCGGAATAGTGCCTTTGGTTGCACTACAAGGAATTAATCTTTCAAGGCCAAAAATTTCTCTATAAAGCCTCGGCCTCAGTGCAAGAGGCCCCAAGTTGATTAGAGCCCTTCAGCTCTAAGCCTAGCGATTGCTTTGGAAGCACTGGGCAGACCCAGATTCCTCCCCCGGAGAACTCAACTCTAAGAACAGAGGACCCTTGAGCTCTAATTACGCTGTCCATGAAAAGAAGTCTGAGCGGTTCCTGAGCCTGTGGCCACAGCCCAAGTCCGTAGCTCATGCCTAAGTGGGGCAGGGCTAGCCCAGGCGGGAGGATTAATGACAGTGACTGAATATTTTATAAGTGGAATATTGTGTATTTTCCAAAACCAAATGGAATGTCATTTTTTTCCCCCGAGAGATGGGGGATGTCACTGTTCTCGTTTCCCATTCAAACCACATATTCGATGGCAAGCAAGATGAATGGGACTAGGAGTTTCCAGGGGAGAGAGCAGAGACAGAAGGAGAGGAAAAAAATCCTTTTTCACTTCTTCCTCCCCTGGCAGCCTCTCCTTACATTGCTGCATTCCTCGTCACCCAATATTTGAATCCACTGTCCCCTGAACCACTCCAGCTACCAACCAGGGATTACATCCCTTTCCCTGACCCCTGAATGGCCTCTGTCCATAAGGAGATTAAAGCACAAGGTCACCTAATCCATCCTTCTGTTTCCAAGAAACACAGGGTATCGGACATGAAAAAACCTGCCAGCAGATCTTCCTTTGTGTTCTTACCCAAGGTCTTATTTTCTTTCGGTATAACTTCCTTTGGTCTAACTGAAGTCCATCTCATTGCAGATGAAGGCCGGGCCCTCTAAATGTTGACTTCCTCTGCCTATTCTTCACATAAAAGTCTTGGGATTCAAGTGCTTCTGAAACCCTGGATCTAGCATTGCCTCCAACTCACCTGCTTGAATGCATTACTGGCCTGTGCAAATGCAACTATTTGATTCGCGCTGGAGTGGTGAGAGGCCCCTTCCCTCTCAACACCCTATTACATGCTCCGAGGCCACCCACATGCTCCGCTGCTTTGCATTTGCCCTGCAATCTTTCATGCCAGTTGACTTTTCATCTCCAAATCCCTTTTCACATTAAACACAAACCCACACACTCTGTCCCATTTTCCTTTGAAATAAATCATAAGTCCATGCCAGAAACGACTCAGGGTGTTCTCTGGAATTTGTAAACAGCATTAAAGTCTTGTGGGAAATGTCACAGAGTGTTGGTCTGAATTTATTAAGTAATTTCTCAGCTTAAAATATATCTTTCCAGCCTGCTGTCTGACAACATTTGCCTCTAATGGAATTTTATCCACTCTTGATCACTAAACTAAGCACACTCCCATCCCAGAGTGCAGATTCCTGAGCTCTTCCAGTTCGGCTCTCCATCAGATAGGTTTCAGACATATTAACCATGCCCTGCCTTTCGAAACCAGTTGGATCTCTAAGTGCCCGGCTATTCCCTATTTCCGAGGGTGCTAGTATGCCATTACACCACATGTACATGGACGCCACTGAACCTACAAACGTGTTAATAACAGCCGTATTCAGCACTCGCCGGTGGCAGAACCAGGGAAGGTCTCAAAGAAGGTTCTTATTCCTCCCGATTCTCCATCAGCTCCCAAGCTACCCCAAACAAACATACTATTTAAAACAAAACCATAATTGACTGTACGAAGTAGCTACAAGATCCGTCCCCTAGCTTGCCTCCTCTTTTATCAACCAACTGTCATGTGTCAGCCCCTCCTTTAGAGAAATGTTGGCATTGTTCTTGGGTGATTTTGAATTCTAGTTTCAGTCAATTAAACAACACATTTATAAAGAGCAGCTGTTTTGTACAAAGTTGAAACAAAGTGAGGAAATGAAGAGGCTGTCAGCGTATGTCCTTCCCAGATCAATTCTCTTTCTGTGGCCTCAGGCCTACTTGCTTTCAGGACCCATCCTAACCAGGCCAAGAAGCGTTTCAGCAACATGAGCCTGGCATGGGTCTTAGGACTCTAAGCCCAGAGTCCAGGTTAACTCATCTCAGGCCCTGCCACAACTCTGAATGTCAGTGTTCGCTACCCTGTAATACACAGAAGATAGTATAACACACTGGTCAAAAAATCTGCACAGTGGAATCAGACAGCGTGGAAATCCAAGTTCTGCTACTTACTAGCTGTGTGGCCTTGGAAAGGCTGCTTAACTACTCTCTGCTGCCGTTTCTTTATCTCTATAATGATTACAATGTAATGATGATGATCCTACCTCATAGGGTTATTTCGAGAAATAAAATTCTACATGTAAAAACGCACAAAATAATGCCTATTTTTAAATAATGAATCAATCATAATTCATAAAAAGTCATTATTAGTTATCAATATTAAACTGCTAGCTGCCACTTTATTGTCTGGTTGGCAGTGCACTCTTACCTTCTTGTCTTCTAAGTAGACACACAAGTCACTCGGTGTCTGTAAACCGTTTACTGCCTGGTGACTGAAGAGAGGCTTGGGAACTGGCTGCCCGGGCTGGATGCGCTCAACACTTGCCTCCGAATATGGCTCTTCTCCTGGTACCCACTGCTTTGAAGATGCAAGAACACATTTAGCTCTCAGGAGGGTTTGCATTTCTGGAACTGAAGGTAGAAGTTGCCCACTGTGCCTTCTTCCTGAGCGACTGCCAGGAGCGCCCCCTTTGTGTGTAGGCCAGCAGCTCCCTAGTGGCAAGCGTGGAACCAGGGCAAAAGGAGCACAAGGTCTTAAAAGTGAAAATGGTTTTAATAGCTAATCTTAGAATGGAAGTTTAAAGCAACAGTTCATCAGACTAATCACAAAAGTGTCCCAAAAAGCTAGTAAGAAACAAGAAATCTGAGACAAACTATAAGTGAATTAAAACCCATGAGGCCAGGTTAAGAAGCCAAGTATAGAATTGAAACTTTGAGAGTATTCCTATTAGAAATGTCGTCTTGTTCTGGAACATATGTTTCGTTTGAACACACCCCTTCTCTGTTCTAAGAATATACCGACGAAATAGATGGAAATCGCAGGTGCATGTGCCGAAAAATGTTTCTTGGTGTTCCTTTTAATCTGGACTCAAGACAGTACCCAAACTTCTGCTTGACAACATCACCTCAGACATGTTACAATTAATTAGACAACTTTTCTCCACATCACATTTTAATTTGGAAAGACGTGGGAGACATCTTTGTTTCTTAAGGAGATTTGCAAATTAATCTAAACTCACTGAAAATACATTTACAAACTCACAGTGGGTTAGTTATGTGTATTCTAACCTCGTTCTCATTTTTCAACTTCAAAGGATGGTTTTCTAACTGCGTGTCTGAAGTCTAGAGGATATTTTGAGTCGTTTGGGAGATGAAATAAACTATACATTTATTTGTTTACTTTATACTTTGGATTTTTAAATAAGCGTAAAAAATATGAGACAATTTACAATGTTTCTTCTGTGTCGTAAACCCTGATGAAAGCAGTGGTGTGAAAGAATGTTTCTACATTTCAGCCAGTGGGCAGAAGGCGGGACTGCGTGCCCAGGAAGTCAGTGGCCAAGCCTGACCTGGGAGTCTGCCTCAGGGCTGTCAAATCCAACAGTTAATGAGAAAAACCATAGAAACAACAGAGAGCATGAGGACAGGTAAGAAGGTCAAATGCAGGCCGGTCACAGCTGAACATAAATCTAGGATTAATTATGAGTGAATTAAACCCACCAGCTCAATGAAGTAGGCAATTTTGCATTTGACATGTATATTTTTTAGTATCATTTTTATATGTGTGTGTGTGCAAAGAAAACTTATTCTATTTGTACTTTCTCAACATTCATTAGGAAAGTTCCTTTTTAAAAAAAAAACAAACAGTATTTGTTTTTGAAAGATTCGTGTGATATTTCCTGTCGGTAAGGCTGCTTTTGAAAGACATGCCCCTGGGAAGTTGTTTTCAAATCTTGATCAGAATTTCTGGGAGTCTCTGAGGCAGCAGGGCCGGTTATCTGCATCTTGTACACATTTCTCGGTTGAGTCTTAGGACCAGTAAAGCTTGAAAACCATCACCCTAGAAAACAGCTCTGTCTTCCTCTATAGCATATGAGCTACATAAGTAACTACTACTTGGTGCTTTTACTCTCTCACTGCTCTCTTTCATTTCTACCTGGGAACCCATTAGAATATAAGGAAAGGTATTACAAAGAACCCACTTGAGATGTTATCCCTACCTCCCAGGAGAACACCATAGGAAGCAAGGCATAGGCATGGAAGTTCATTACTAACACAAGCAACCTGGGAGGAGGTAAGGGTGGGAATATCCTGCTGGCACATAGAAGCACAGACAAGCAAAAGATAGGAGTACTGTGACTGGAGATGACTCTGTAATAAAAATGAGTCTTGGGAGTGCTAGGGTGGGTAGGGTGTACAGAGACAAGTCCTTGGCAGTGGATTGCCAGGTGAGAGAAGGCTGCAGCTTGAGGCTGGTGCGCAATTATCAGGGTTCCTCTTTGCTGTGATAATATGCTAATTAAAAGTGCCTTCTGCTTCCACAGGCACTATCTAGTTAATGCTCAAAAAGGAGGAATTTTTTTTTTAATGAGTCCATAAAATTTGGTACCAACTTAATTTTTATTCATTGTGAATCAATGCAGAAACAAGAATAGATCTAACACATCGTTGAGTGTTTTGGAATCACAACACATTCTTGGCTGGAATCGGAAAGGTGTTAAGACTAAAGAGAAGGTCCCAGGTCTGCAATTCCATGTGTGGTTGCACTTCTGCCTTGGGCATCTTCTGATAAGAACATGTCCAGGAACAGGAAGTCAGCAAAACCCAGTAATGGGTATATGGTAAATCTATAGGGCATATATAGAGTACCACCCTGGTCCTGGGTAACCAGGGCCTCTGCCCTTGGCTCCACAGTTTAGAGACCCCTGTAGTCCACCCTTCTTCCCTCTTATCCCCTCCTCAAGGGTGACAAGTCCACAGGTGAAGAGACATGCCCTCCAGGAGCCTATGACCTCCCTTGTAGGTGACACTCTGGGTACCTGGGACACTGGAATTTCCTGCCCTTCACAGGCCACTTCTGCAGGTCCATATTTCCAAGGGTGGACAGTGCCACAAATATGTGCACCCCTCATACACACTTGTACAAGCAGAGCTTGGACAAGTGGGTATAGGCCTTAAAGGATTGGATGGGTAAGAGCTGAAGTCAGCAAGGGAAAGAGGTAGGAGATGGGCTGGAAGAGTCTCAATTTCTACCCTTCTCTGCACCATAAAAATATTAAGGAGGTCACCAAAATTCCTAGCCCCTTGGGAATTGTGACAGCCCCTTTCTATTTCCTGTCCAAAAGTCAAATATTAAGAGGCTATACCCTACATCTTATGTTTCCATGGGGAAAGAGGCATTCCATTCCATTCCCTGGGAAAGAACACTTAAACCCTCTCCGTCCTCTCTCTACTCCCTCTGGCTCTCCCCAAAGGAGAAGAAATGAACTCTCTGATTGGCAAGGTTGATGAAACATTTGGTTTTTTTTTTTGAGACGGAGTTTCACTCTTGTTACCCAGGCTGGAGTGCAATGGCGCGATCTCGGCTCACCGCAACCTCTGCCTCCTGGGTTCAGGCAATTCTCCTGCCTCAGCCTCCCAAGTAGCTGGGATTACAGGCACGCACCACCATGCCCAGCTAATTTTTTGTATCTTTAGTAGAGACAGGGTTTCACCATGTTGACCAGGATGGTCTCGATCTCATGACCTCGTGATCCACCCGCCTCGGCCTCCCAAAGTGCTGGGATTACAGGCTTGAGCCACCACGCCCGGCCTGAAGCATTTGTAAATGCATAACTCAACCCTTCCTGCACTCTCTTATAGACTCTACCTGCCCGTAGCCATCATCTTTTCTCCTCCGTGCAGGGATTAGAGGGAGGCTTAAAGCTTCTCCATTCTGTGAATGACATATTTGTAGATCTAGTTCAGGGAGGATGAAGCAGAAAGCCTGTATTTGGCCATAGATCTGACAGCGATCATAGCTGTCTCCAGCTGCAGACCCAACGTCATCTTCTGCATGTGGAAATGGACCGGCAGCTCCGCAATGCCAAGTCTGAGATAAGCCAGGAGGCTCTTGGTGGAGAATAAGACAGTAGGAAGTAAGAAGGGGAAGGAGGCAAGAAATGTCTCATCAGTTTAGGAAGGAAAATAATTAGAACAAGGGACGAGGAACCATGGGGAAAAAACTGTGAAGGACATTCAAGGGCAGTTGAAAGAAACAGCTTTGTCTGGATAGAGTAGAGGAAAAGGGGATGGAAAGAGAGATGGAAGGTAGGGGACACAGCATTAGTGGGATTAAATAGGCCATGGAGCAAAGGATTTTTAGGTTCAAGAGAACCCAAAAGGGCCGTGGAAGGTGCAGGTAACGTACACAGGAGTGAAGACTCGGAATCCAGTGATCCCAAGAGCCAAGAATGACTGGAGGATGTAAAAGTTCATCTTCCACGTTAAACTTGGTCAAACTGCATCTAATGATTAAGGTGAATGCACATAATTTACCTGTTCCTACCTGTGTATACCTTGAAACCTGGAGTTCCTCTCACTGTAAGGAAGGAGTTTGTGCAAGGAGCAGCTGGTTGAACGGAAGCACACTTTTGAACCTGGATGAAACCACAGTGCAGAGCTCAGTCACAATTTCAAAGTTAAAACTAAACGTGACAACAGCTCTCCAAGCTCCTGTAACTGGAGGTGATGGAGGTGGCCGGTGGGGCTGCCACTTACTGCCAGATGTCCCGTTCTTTTATACACACCTTTAGTTATCTAAATTAAATGACGGTTTGCCAGGGGGATACTATTTCCTTTTGTTTTGGAATTTCCTGTCCACACCTTGGTTTCATTGAAGACACCATGGGCTGTCAGATAACTAATACTGGAGTTCATAAAGCTACACATTTGGGATAATATGGACCCAAAGCTAGAGAGACAAATTAATACACCAAGACATGGATGGTGTGAAAATGGGAAACAAGGAAAAATAGCTAATAGTTATTTCAAGGGAAGAAAATTGAGAGGAGAAAAAACATAGAAACAGAAGCAGGAAGTTTTTTTAGTTAGAAGAATAAAAGGAAGGAAGGAGGACGAAGTAGAAGAAGGAAGCAAAGAGGAAGGGAAGCAAATGCTTGGGGAGATAAACAGGAATAGAGAAAGGAAGGAGAAAATAAATGTTCTGTAAGTAAAAATATCCTTATACGCATGAAACACGGGTATTTTCTGCATTGCATTCAACCTCTTTGCAGTTGTTTTGTTCTAAAAAGCAGCAGAGAATGTCAAACAGCTGTTTTTACAGCTTCTGTCACTTTGTCAAAGCCGGCCTGCACAGTCTGACTGCCAGGCACACCCAGACGGTACACTAGTGTCAAAGCGCTCTGATGAGCAGGTGGGCCAAGCCTGCAGCCACACGGAAAGGTCAGCACTGATGCCCGTCAGGCCCTCGGGGCTGCAGCCAAAACCAAGGCCCTGGGAACCTGAGCCACATGGCAAAGTCAGTGCTGATCCCCAACAGGCCCCTCGGGACTGGAGCCCAAAATCAAGACCCTGGGAACCTGCTCGAGAGAGATAAGCAAACACTCAAGGCAGCATTTCTCTTCCAGATTTTAAAAAAAAAGAAGAAGAAAGAATTTGCCTAGAGATAATCTTCCCTCAGTGCAAGCAGTAAAAAGCTCAAAGTCAGATGACACGGACTTGGGCCCCAACTCTGCCATTTCTAAGCTACATGGCCTCAGGCTGGTTGTTTTGCCTCTGAAAGTCTCAGTTTCCCCATTTATGGAATAAGGATAATACTTCACAGGGTTCTCATAAGGATGAAATGAGGTAATAATATGGCTCACAGCCCAGAAAATAGAGGATCGCGGTCAATATGTTAAAAACTCATGTTTGGAAAAAAGAAACCAACAAACACAGATGATAGACAGATGGAGGGAGCGAGAGAGATTAGATAGACAGGGTGACTGATGGATAGATTGGTGACAGATACATAGATGAAGGCAGAGACAGAGATCCAGGAAAGCCTTTCAAATACATTTTTGGTTTCTGATAAATGTAAGAAGGCTCTTTTCCTACTCTCTTCCTTTCCTCCGATTCCTGCCAATAGCAGCAGGCCACTTGGAAATCACAAAGGTGACTCTCCTTTCCACGCCCCTTCCCAAACAAGCCCTCTAGTAGCACTGCTCATGGGGAAACACTGCCATGTCCAACAGAGGTCTTTATCAGGGTAGGAGACCCTCGAGGAAGGAGCTTCCTCCCCGGTGGTTTGTTCCCTCCTAAGAGTTATTGCACGACTTCATGATGTGTCTGTGATGGGAGGGCAGTAGGGGACACATAGAGGTAAACAACCAGGAAGAAGAGATGAGATCTCAAAATCACCAGCATGTGAGGACAAGAGCAGCATATCTGTCTCTTCCCTGACAAGCTGGTGAAGTCAAGGACATGGTCAGAGGCCAAGGAGGATGTACCTGGATGAGGGCCCTTTCCTCACCAGACCACAGCTTACCCAGGTGCCTCTTTACAGGGCTCCTGCCAGCTCACCAGCACCCTCATCTTTACCATTCTCATCCCAGAGCAGAAGATTCCAGAAGACAAATGAGTCTTTCCTGCGGGGCCTGGAGAATCCCACAGTGTTTGCCTCTCACTGGGCACTTGGCTTGCCAGTCTGAAGGCATGGCCGTTGGCCTAGCCTGCTTGAGACACTCAGATGATAAACAAAGCCTGCTCTCGCCACCACCTGTGCTTGGGCCCACCCCAAACACTTACCCAGGAGCACAATGGTTACAATTATAAATCAAGCTAACAAACTGTTAACAAAAATATGCTCTACCCTCCTACCTTGACAAATATACCTTCATATGCCTGGAAAGTTTAAATATAGAATTTCCAGGCTCCTGGGAGCTCACACTGGCAAATGGAGCTACGGGGAAAGATGACTTCCCGCCCCCAGGCTGCCCCCCACCTCTTCCCACACTGGGCTCTGTCGTGCCTTTGAGGGACCTCGCACACATGCGGACACGCAGCTGGCATGTCCAAGCTCTGTCCGTACCCCCAGTGGGACACTCCATTCTTTAAAGAAAGTGCTGGGAAGAAGCTTACACAGACCTAGCAGCAGATGTGGAGCCATTTGGCAGGGAATTGCAGGTTCTTGAGTACCGGAAGTATGGTGTAGAAAAAAGGTCACTGAACCAGGTGCAGTGGCTCACGCCTTTAATCCCAGCATTTTGGGAGGCTGAGGCGGGTGGATCACCTGAGGTCAGGAGTTTGAGACCAGCCTGGCCAAAATGGAGAAACCCAGTCTCTACTAAAAATACAAAAATTAGCCGGGCGTGGTGGCAGGTGCCTGTAATCCCAGCCACTAGGGGGGCTGAGGCAGGAGGATCACTTGAACCTGGGAGGTGGAGGTTGCAGTGCGCTGAGATTGTGCCATTGCACTCCAGCCTGGGCAACAGAGTTAAACTCCGTCTCAAAAAAAAATAAAAGAAAGAGGATTACTGTCCTTGGGCAGATGTATCCTCCTGGCCTTAAGGATTTATTGCCCTTTGGGGAGGAATATGGCTGGAAGGGGGCCAGAGCGGGCAGGTCCAGAGCAGAGGTCCCTATGCCCAGATGATCCTTGCTGTCAGCATCCTCATCAATATCATGCCCTACACCCGATAGCACGCTTATTCCCATCCCAGGCCGTGTAGAGAACATTGCCATTGGATTCGCTGCCTGCTTGGGCCCTGGCTACACCCTTCCAGCCACAGTTTTACCAACTCCAGCCAGACACTCAGAGCTTCTCAAGCCCGAAGCCCTTTAGGGAAGAGACTGAAGGGGCAGAGCGAGGAGAGCCAGGCTGGAGACTGAGGCAGGGTTGAGTGGAGCGCCGACTCCCGGGGCAGGTCCCATTGTTAAGCAGGCCCCCCACGAGATTTAATGGAGCGTTTCTGCTGTGCTTTTCACAGTGTTGTGGCTCTTAATAGGCTCCCCTGGCGGGCCGCTCAGAGCCCACGCTGCCTCTGAGCAGCTGCTGTGCTGAGCGAGGGAGCAAACCGGCTCGTTTGCAGACCACGTGCCTGTCGCCTTCTTGGGAAGCCATCACAGCACGTCCTGCAACAGGCTCCCGAGGAGGCATCACAGTTTAGCGTAATTCGTCAACTTCACAGCTGCTACTTGGGAGGGAGGGGGCCAAGGAAGCCAGCGCCAAGCCAACTCAGGAATCTCAGGAGCATTCCCCAGGCCAGCAGAGAGAAGGTGAGCCCCATCAGGAATGGGCAGAGCTTCCAACGTGCTGCTAGCTTCACCTCCAGCTTCCCACCCAGACCTCTACTCACCCTGAGGGTGCCAGCAAAACTGGAAACTGAGGGAAACGGCTGGGTCTTCAGAGTCAGGGAGAGTGAATTCAAGCCTCCTCATCATCTATAATCTGTGTTGTAACAGGTTTTCAGGTGATTCTGATGCACACGAAGTTTGAGAACACCTGGTCAAGCCTCCCCCGCCCCCAGCCTAGTGGTCTTCCGTTGCTACCTTGGCCTCTCCCCAGGATTACGTTGACCTTTTGGCAATCTAGCAACTAAAAAGGTCAGCGCCCGGCACAAGAACAACCTCCAGCACCCTGCTCCAGCTGCCTCCGTTCTGTTTGGTCAGTGCCCATTATCTTACTGTATCAGGCCTGCCTACCCCACGGGGTTGTTGTGGGCATTAAATAAATACTGCCTGTAGGGCACAGGGCAGAACATCCAGCATAAAGAAAGCACTTGGCTGGTGAAAGATACTTGGATGTTATTTTGGGGAGTTCCTTATTTCCTTTGCAACCTTTGGGTGCACAGCTCTGCCCTGGGCCAATTTCCCCTTTCCTGTTTTTCTTCCTTCCCTCTGCTGCAAAGATCCAGCCTGCTTGCTGGCTTCCAGTGGTCACCAGAGCCTCCTCAGCGTAATCGGATTAGGAATATCACAGCGTCTGTTTTCTACCCCACCTATCCTATTCCAAAAGAAAGCATGCAGCCTCAAAAAGTTGATGTTTTCTGGTTGGTTGATTTCTTTTTTCTTTTCTTTTTTTCTTTTTTTGAGATAGGGTCTCACTCTGTTGCCTAAGCTGGAGTACAGTGGTGCAGTCATGGCCCCCTGTAACCTCCATTTCCATCTCCCAGGCTCAGGTGATCTTCCCACCTCAGCCTCACGGGTAGCAGGAACTAGGTGCACACCACCACACCCAGCTAATTTTTTGTAGGGATGGGGTTTCACCATGTTGCCCAGGCTGACCTTGAACTCCTGGGCTCAAGTAATCCATCTGCCTCGGCTTCCCAAAGTATTACAGGTGTGAGCCACCATGCCCAGCCTGGGTGTTTTTCTGGTTTTTGGTTTTTTTTTTTTGAGATGGAGTCCTACTCTGTCACCCAGGCTAGAGTGCAGTGGCACAATCTTGGCTCACTGCAACCTCACACCTGGGTTCAAGTGATTCTCCTGCCTCAGCCTCCTGAGTAGTCGGGACTACAGGCACATGCCACCACACCCAGCTAATTTTTTATTTTTAATAGAGACAGGGTTTCACCATGTTGGCCAAGCTGGTCTCGAACAACTGACCTCAGAAGATTCGCCCACCTTGGCCTCCCAAAGTGCTGGGATTACAAGTGTGAGCCACCATGCCCAGCTGGTTATTTTTTCAGTAGATTGTTTTTTAGAGCAGTTTTAGATTCACTGCAAAATTGAGCAGAAAGCACAGAGTTCGCATGTATTCCCTTGTCTCTGCACAGGCACAGCCTTCCTCGCTATTGTTTTAATCAATAAACTACAATTGACACATCATTACCACCCAGAGTCCATAGTTTATATTAGGGTTCACTTTTTTTTTTTTTTTTTAGCCAGAGTTTCGCTCTTGTTACCCAGGCTGGAGTGCAATGGCGCGATCTCGGCTCACCACAACCTCCGCCTCCTGGGTTCAGGCAATTCTCCTGCCTCAGCCTCCCGAGTAGCTGGGATTACAGGCACACGCCACCATGCCCAGCTAATTTTTTGTATTTTTAGTAGAGATGGGTTTTACCATGTTGACCAGGATGGTCTCGATCTCTTGATCTCGTGATCCACCCGCCTCGGCCTCCCAAAGTGCTGGGATTTCCGGCTTGAGCCACCACGCCCGGCGAGGGTTCACTCTTAAGGTTGCAGATTCTATGGTTTTGACAAATGTAGAATGACATGCATCTACCATCATAGTAATAGTACCACACAGAGTAGTTTCACTACCCTCAAAAGCCCGTGCTCTGCCTGCTCATCCCTCCCTTACCCCTAAACCTGGCAACCACCCACTCTTTTGCTCTCTCCACAGTTTGGCCTTTTATAGGCATTCAGTTAAAATCATACAGTATGTAACTTTTTCAGATGGCTTCGTTCAGTTAATAACATGCATTTAGGATTCCTTTAGGTCTTTTTCTGGCTTGCTAGCTCATTTCTTTTTAGCGCTGAATAATATTTCATTGTCTGAATGTACCCGTGTATTCATTCACCTAATGAAGGGCATTTTGGTTATTTCTAAGTTTGGGCAATTATGAATAAAACTGCTATAAACATTCGTGTACATGCTTTTGGGTAGACATAAATTTTAAACTCATTTGGGTAAATATCAAAGAGTACAACTGGTGAATCATATGGTAAGAAATCACCAAACTGTCTTCCAAAGTGGCTGTAGCATTTTGCATTCCCACTAGCATTGAATGAGAGTTCCTGTTGCTCCACATCCTTACACCTGTGGTGTGGTCGATGTCCTGGATTTGGGCCATTCTACTGGGTATATGCAATAGTGCATCTCATTGCTTTAATTTGCGATTCCCTAATGACAGATGCTATTGAGCATCTTTTCATGTGCTTACTTGCCATTTGTACACCTTCCTTGCTGAGGTGACCGTTTGGGTCTTTTGCCCATATTTGCTTTCCGATTGTTGAACTTTAAGAGTTCTTCGTATATTTTGGATCACTGTCCTTTATCAGAAATATGTTTTGCAAATTTCTCCCGGTCTATGACTTGCCTTCTCATTATCTTAAGGTTCGTTGATTTTAATGTTTTGTTTTGGTCTCTTCTGTTTTGTTTTAGTAGCAAAGAGACAAAGGGTAAAAATAAGAAATATTTAGCAAAAGTGAGTGTTATAAACACTCTAAAAGGCCTCACAGTGGAAGTTCTCCTGAGATCTAGGGACAGAGCACAGATGGCTTTCACAAATCCCCCAGCTCCTGTCCTTCATTTCACCCTTTGATTAAAAGCTCCAGCCTTAGATAAGGAACTCCCCAGGCAAACTTCCTCAGAACATTTTTTTGTTCTAATAGACAAATGTTTAGCATTTCTCAAAACCTTTGGGCCCACTGGCCTCTCTGAGAATCAGTCAAAGCTACAGGCTCATCCCCTTTAAAATGCACATAGACACACAAGCCCACACTCTTACATACCCTCTCAGGGTGTTCACTGACTTCCAGAAGCCCATCCAACGTGTGGTGCCACCAAATTAAGGGGCCCTGCCGGAGAAGGATAAAAGAAAGAACAATGCTGCTAATAGGCAATCGGGCAGGGCACCAAGGAGCAGAGTTAAAGGCATTTTCTCTGCAAAGAAAAACCCAAATTCACAATTTCCAATCTTCAAAGCCCCTGAGACCACTCCCTTGTCAGTGCCTTGCTCTTTTGCAATTTGGGGAGAAAATAAAGAAATGCAGTCCTCCTGCCGCTGCAACAGCACCCCACCCCCGCTTTCCCAGTCCCCCTCTCCCACCCCCCCCCACCCCCACCCCCACACAGTGATGCTCCCACGACTCCCTTCTGCCCCACAAGGCCCTCTAGTGGCCCACCAGTGGGCTTCCTGACTGGGACCTTTGCAGTTCACACAGGAGGCATGTTAGGGCTACGGCAAGATGAGTAAAAAACCCACCGTGCACGCACTCGAGAGGCTGAGGCAGGAGAACTGCTTGAACCCAGGAGGCGGAGATTGCAGTGAGCCAAGATTGCGCCACTGCACTCAAGCCTGGCGCCTGGCGACAGAAAAAAAACAAAACAAAACAAACCCCATGGTGCAAAATGTAAGGGGACACTCACTCTCTGGGCTCTGTAGAGAAGTCCATCTAAGAGACACGTGGCAAGTAGCCTTCCCCATTTTTGGAAACAGTCAGCTGCCAGGAGGGTAGAAAACTTTGACCCAAGCAACATGAGTTGGTCTGTACGAACCACAGCCACCGCAAAGCAAAGCTCTCTGGCGTTTCACCAGCTCCCAGATCACTTCTGGGGACCTTTGACAGTGAGGGCAGACCAGCTCCCACATGGGAAAGAAAGCAGGAACCTTGTTACCACTTGGCATGGAGCCCCGGAGAGGCTTGGCTGGGAGCCCTGAGGACAGGGTCCTTCTTCATCCCCATCTTGGGGTGGTGGCAATCACGCTTGCTGGGGTGGCTCCTTCACTGTGGTGAGATGAAGGGACCGCCTCCAGGAGGGCTGAATGTGCGCTGGGGCCTGGTCTTCACACACAGTCCTCTTTCTCTTCAGCACCATTCACATGCAGCCTCCATGAGCTCACCCCAGTCCTTCCCATGGCTCCCGGGCATTCACACCACCCCTTTCTCTCTAGAAATAGATTCCACTGCCCCACAATCTTCAGCTCTCGGCTCCCTCCCTCTCCTCCCCTCTCCCCATCTGTCAGCTGCCTGAGGCTTCTCCAGTCTCCCCAGGCCTAGGAAGTACCAGCCCACCAGAGAAGGGGCAGAGCCCACCCACCCGCCTTCTGCCCCAACCCTGTGGCTGCGGTGGCTGAGGAGAGGGGAGGGAGTGTTATAGAATAGACAGTAACTGAGAATGGCAGGGGAAGGGATCATCAACAGCTACTCAGGTGCGAAGCTGGTGAGCCCTGGAAAGTTAAGTGCGGTGTGAAATTTATCCTTCAATGTCTTTCAAAAGTAGGAGTCTTCACATGCTGGGTGCCCCACCCCAGGTGGCTACGGAGGCAGAACAGGTGAGGCCGGCAAATCCTCACTTAGGGGGAGACCTCCCCTTACTGTACTACGCACCTCTCTGTTCTCTTCACCTTCGCCCGGGTACCCAAACTTCATCCCACACCCCTGTCATTGCTGTTATGTCAGGCCTTGGAAAAGACTGGTGCTGAAGCCACTTAAGAAGGGGGGAGCACACGTGCCCCCACCCCCCGACACACACACAAGCAACCTAGAAGCTGAAGCCACTTGAGAAGGGGGGAGCACACATGTGCCGCCACCCCCCGACACACACACAAGCAACCTAGAAGCTGAAGGGGCTTTTCCCAGCCACCATCCCTTAGGGAAGGCAGTTTTTAGGATTTCCAGAACTGTCAGGGATGGGAGAGTGAAGGCAATGAAGCTACACAAAAGTTGTCGCATGAATGGTGAGACTATAAATAATTGAAAGTCTTTCTAACAAGAACTTGTGGTGCCATGGAAGGCTTTGGGAAGACGGGACAGGAGTCCAGAAGTCAGCCATGTGACTTCACGACGCACTGCTGCTCTTCACTCCGAAACATCTCACGGCGCTCTGGTTTGTGACATAAATATCTATTGAGCATCTTCATTGTAACCGGAACTGTGCTAAGTATTGGAGATCAAACTAATCATAGCTACATGCTTTTTATGTATGGGCATAAAAGTTCCACATGTTCTAAGCACCTTGCTTGTGTTATCTCACTTAATTCTCACAATAACCCTATGAGGTAGACACTTTACAGAGGAGGACCCTGAGGCACAGAGAAATTAAGCAACATGCCCATAGTCACCCAGCTAGGAAGTGAAGGAACAGGGTTTGGACCCAAGTTGTCTGATCTCAGACCACTATTGCATACTTCCTCTCGGACAAAAACAGACACACAGACACGATGCCTGCTTCATGGGCCTCATGGTCTAGTGCAAAGTATGGCCCGTGGGCCAAATCAGGTCCACGGCCTGTTTTTATCAAGAAAGTTTCACTGGAACACAACCACGTTCATCTGTTTACCTATTATCTATGTCTGCTTTCATACTACAATGGCAGAATTCAGTGGCTGTGACAAAAACTGTCTGGTCCACAAATCCTAAAATATTTGTAATATGGTCTTTTATAGAAAACCTTTGCAACTCCTGATCTAGTGGAATAGAACCATCTTGTCCTTCCCTGGGACTTCAGGAGAACACATGAGTTGAGCTCATTAGTCTAAGGAGTCCCAATGCAGCACAGCCAGAGTAAGCCCAGCCTATTCACCTGACTACCATTCCACCTCCAGGATGACCAGCCAGGATGTCTCAGGAGCAGCCTGCTCCTAGTTGTTCCCACGATCACTCAGTGCCTAAGCCCAGGTGAGAAATACTAGGCACTGGCTGGCAAGAACCATAGCTAGCTACCGTCAGAGGATCCACATCAAAGATGGAATCGATACATTCTCTGGGACCCAGATACTGCAGGCACCTTGGGAGATGGTGAGCTCTGCCTCCACCCAGTGGGTTGCTCATTGATCTACCTGATCATTCAACATTCAATAAGCATTCACTATGGGCCAGGCCCAGGGTGAGTGCCGTGCTCATAGGGAGTCATGCTACGGATATGGCTCAGGCAAAATCACACATTGGACAAGGATTAGACAAAAATCACCATACTGTTCCTCCGAATTCTCAATGCTATGCTTTGATGTTCGCCCAGGGTCTGCACCTTTGCAAGGAAAGCCTCTAAATTTAGGTCTCAGGTGGTACACAGGAGAGGACTGAATTTGAATAAAGCTGCCCCACTACTTTTCTGGCTTCCAAGTCAAGCTTCCAGCTCTTTCCACCTACCCCATTAGATCGCAGAGCAGCTCTCCCAGCAAATATTACAAATAGATATGGAAATGTACATTTCCATACACATTTTTCCACATATATATTCCATATAGTATACAAGTCCCAGATTGTTTTATTCAGCCATGATTAAATGGCAGCTAATGAAAAAAACATTCAGAACAAACATGAAATAAAGAAGCTGTTGACATAAGTGCTTTGAAGATGTCAAGCCTCAGGCTAGATAGGACTTTGCTTAGACAGATGAAAAAGGTGAGAACATATTTACATATCAGATACAAAATTTAAGTTAAATCCATACTTTTTCTGCATCTTGCCATTGCTGAATTTCCATCTACGTCTAAAAAAAATGCAAAGAACTTTTCTTCTGTATTGAATGGTTTAAGAGCTCTAAACTGTTGACTCATGAACTAGTAGACCACTGAAGTTTGCTATAGGAGACAACATGTGTTAAAATATTTGCTGTAGGCCAGGCGCGGTGGCTCAAGCCTGTAATCCCAGCACTTTGGGAGGCCAAGGCGGGTGGATCACGAGGTCAAGAGATCGAGACCATCCTGGTCAACATGGTGAAACCCCGTCTCTACTAAAAATTACAAAAAATCAGCTGGGCACCGTGGCGCGTGCCTGTAATCCCAGCTACTCAGGAGGCTGCGGCAGGAGAATTGCCTGAACTTCCATCTACATCTGCGGAGGTTGCGGTGAGCCGAGATCGCGCCATTGCACTCCAGCCTGGGTAACAGGAGCAAAACTCCGTCTCAAAAAAAAAAAAAAAAAAAAAAAAAAATTGCTGTAGAAAATTGTTCACTTAAAGTAGCTAAGCTGTGTTTACCAAAGCAGGTTGAGTTTTCTCACCAGCCTCACCATCATCAATTCACTGACTACGACCTCCCTGGTCTTGTTATAATTCAACCAGTGAAAAAGACTTGGCAGAGCCTCTTAAAAGCAGGAGCATGACTAAAGGCATTCCGTCCCTAAAAATGGGTTATTTTGAAAGTAAAAGAAACAAGTGTTTCTAACAGATTAACTTTAAAACACCATGCAGAATCTCGATTTTCCTCGACGGGAGAATTCTCATGTAAGGAGGTTTAATGAGACTCTGCCTAAAGAATTTTCCCTTTCTGGTGCCAACACATTGGCACATCTTTAGGTCACCAGGGTGTATTTCTAGAGGCCCAGCTCTGCTCATTCCTCCTACTTCCTTCCAATTCTGAGAAAAATACACAAAGTGCATCTTTTCCACAAGCCACTAGCCAGAATCCTCATTACCTTCCCTGGAGCTCAGCGCCACAGAAGGCTCTGGGTAAACTAGCAGGGAGGCTGGAGCATGGGGGAGCTCCCAGGAAGATGCGCACCGTTCTCTGACCTAGACTGGACGCTCCCTGAGCCAGAGACCTGGGACTGGAGATGTAATTTGCTTTTTAAGGCATTTCTCCCCGAAAACAGGATCAGAGGAGTGGTGCTGGCTATTGCTGAAAGCTTTATGGGTTAGACACAAACATTAATAGAATGACAGCTGGAAAAAACAAATATAACATTCTTACGCCAGGCATCTCTCAGGGGAGCTGGCTAGAGGGCCACAGCAGGCATATCAGAAAACCATGTGGTGGCATCCATCAGTGGCCTCTCATGACAGGCACATCCAAACTGGAATGAATGACTTCTTCCGGATACATCCTGCACATATTCCAAGAAAAAGCAGGGGGCATGCTGAAGGTGTGGCTTGTGTGGCCCAAGAAAAGACTCCGAGCAGGGCTAGGTTTTGGATAATTAATTCCTCAGGTGAAAACAGCTGAAACTGTTCTCAGTTTCTGGGTGAGGCTAAACTGGGAACCAGCTAAGTACCAGAGAGGCATCAAATCCTCATCTATTCTCAGGCGCTAAAAGACACCCAAGCATCCCAGGGGCAGCCCGCCCCCTCCCTTCCCGCAGATAAAACACCCAGCTCAAGATAAAAACCTCCAGGGGGCAAGTGTCTTCCTCCTTCCCCTTGCTTCCCTTCCTTTCTGTGATTTTCACCATCTCGGCTGCTGCTTCTCTCTCCCTTTCTTTCTCTCCCCTTCGCTCCTTCCACTTTCCTTCTCCTCAACATCAGCCTGACCCTCTCTCTATTCCCTTTATCTGTTGTCTTCTGCCTGAGGCTTCAAACGCTCACAGAAGGAGTTTCTCCCAAATTCAGGAGAAAAAGGTGTTTCTCAGTAGACAGACTTGCTAGTGAAAGGAGCCAACACCATGAGGAAGCCCGGGACTGAGGCAGGGGGTCACTTTCTCAGCCTTGACCCCTTCTTTGTACCTCTGCCTTTTTGGGAAGGCTGCAAGGTACAGGGTCAGGACGCAAGCTTTTAAGACAGAGATACTGAGGCTTGAATCCTGGCTCTAATATTTACAAACCATGTCATCCTGGGCAAGTTACTCTACCTCCCTGGGCCTCTGTTACTTTACCTGTAAGAGTGAGAATAATACCTATCTCAGAGCTGTTACGAGGATTAAAAGAGTTAATGTAGATAAAGCATTATGCCCATGACTGGTGATCAAAAAAGTGAGCCCACACTTTCCCTTCCCTCTTCTCTCTGTGATTCAAAAGTGTGGTCCCCTAATTATTTGTGGCTTCTTTGGAGAAATGGCCCAGAAGACTGGTGTTTGGCTCCATCCATATCACACCCCACTCCTCACCCACATCACAGGACAAGTCAATATCTGTGGAGTGTTCTGTGCCTTCTGCCAGGCCTCTGCTGGGCCAGGCCAGAAGGCTACGGTTAAAAGTCAAGTGTGATCAAACACGGGGAGCAGCTGCGTATCATAGGAACAGAGCTCTGGGGGGCTCAAGTGATCAACAAGGCTTCCCAGGTCCTGTTAACAGTTGATCCAACTTCACCTCCTTTTGTGAGTCCTGGTGCAGCTCAGCCCTGAGGCAGTTGCTTTTAAGACAGTTGGACACTGGCTCTTCTGATGGCCCCGGTGCTGGATATTGCCACCCAGTGTCTATTTTGAGATAGGCCTGCTCCTCCACAAATGGGCTCCTCTTCCTGGAAGGAGTCTTTCCCCTGACACCCACTCATGCACACCTCTGTGTAGTCAGACCACTGCATATTTTCCAGTGGCCCCTCCTCTCCATCCTTGAGAAAATGCAGGGACTATATGGACCCCTCCCCAAAAAAAGCCCCGAGCTGTGTGCACAAAATATATTCTAGAATGAAAACCATACATGACCAGGCGCAGTGGCCATTTATGGCTGTAATCCCAACACTTTGGGAGGCCAGGATGAAAGGATCACTTGTGCCCAGGAGTTTGAGACCAGCCTGGGCAACACAGTGAGACTCCATTTCTATTAAAAAAAATAAAATAGGTTAAGCTTGCCTCATGCCTGCAATCCCAGCACTTTGGGAGGCCAAGGCCAGTGGATTACTTGAGCCCAGGAGTTCGAGACCAGCCTGGGCAACATAGTAAAGCCCCACCTCTACAAAAAACAGGAAAATTAGCCAGGCATGGTGGCACACACCTGTCATACCCACTACTTGGAAGGCTGAGGCAGGAAGAACCCTTAAGCCTGGGAGAAAGGTGTCACAAGAAGCTATGATTGGGCCACAATATTCCAGCCTGGGTAACAGAGTGAGACCCCGTCTCAAAAATAAAAAATAAAATAAAAATTAGCTGGGCATGGTGGTACATACCTGTAGTCCTAGCTACTCAGGAAGCTGAGGCAAGAGGATCACTTGAGCTTAGGTGTTTGAGGCTGCAATGAGCTATGATTATACCACTGTATTCCAACCTGGACAACAGAGAGGGACCCCATATCCAAAATAAAGCCGTAATAATAGCCAATATCACTAATATAATACTTTTAAATTTGAAACATTTTATCCATTTAAACTCTGTCGGGATAGGCCAGCTCCCATAAAGAATGACCTCAAAATTTCAGTGGCTTAACATAATGAAAGTATTTCTGGTTCTCATCACAATTCAATATTGGTAGGTAGAAAGGAGAGGAAACCCTGTCCCTCGTCAACATCAGGGACCCAGGTTCCTTCATCTGTGGCATTGCCATCCCCTTCCAAGTCAGAGCCTCTAAGTCTTTTTCTTTTCTTTTCTTTTCTTTTTTTTCCTTTAGATGGAGTCTCTCTCTGTCACCAGGCTGGAGTGCAGTGGCAGGATCTCAGCTCAGTGCAACCTCCACCTACCGGGTTCCAGCGATTCTCCTGTCTCAGCCTCCCAAGTAGCTGGGACTACAGGCAAGCACCACCACACCCAGCTAATTTTTGTGTTTTTAGTAGAGATGGGGTTTCACCATGTTGGCCTTGATGGTCTCGATCTCTTGACCTTGAGATCCGCCCGCCTTGGCCTCCCAAAGTGTTGGGATTACAGGCGTCAGCTACCGCGCCCGGCCAGAGCCTCTAAGTCTTTTTCTCACAGTGCACAGACCAGGAACGAGAGAGCAGAAGATCCCGGGGGATGTTTATGTGAGCCAGGCCTGGAAATGGGGAACATCAATTCCACCCACATTCCTTTGCCAGAACTTAGTCACTTGCTCACCTAATCCGAAGGCAGACCGGGTGCTTGGGAAAAAGGAGACCACATTTGATAAACAGGTAGTACTGCACTGTCTTTGCTATAAAACCATTAGATAAATATTTTTCCACAGAGCAGGAAACTATGGTTTGACATACCCAAGACTTGGGTGCAAGTCTTGAACCACAATCTTCTAGCTCCAGCCTATTCTTTGATTCATGCAGAATTTCTTCTTCCTGTGGGTATGTTGCTGCGAAAGTTCCTGAATCTTACGAATGACCAGGTCCTGCCCATGCCTTTTCTCTTTACCTCCAGGCATTTGAAGAGCCAGAGAGAAACATTACTAAATACCTCCCTTCCCTCACTGCCAAGCAACACTTCCTTCTCCTGAATTACAGGTGTGGAATCCAGCCCTCTCTTACTGGCATCGCCATGAAAATAAAGATGCTTGAGCACATCTGAGAAAACAGCATCCTTGGCCTAGAAGAGCTTACAGTCTAATGAGATAGACAGAAATGTTAGAAAAGCTGTAACTAGTCTTGATTCGACAATAACAGAGGCCACTACACTGTTGTACAGGAACACGATGAGCAAGAAATGGATTTTCTTAGAGAGTCAGAGGAAGTGACAGAGAACAGGTAATGTTTGTCCTGGGCAGGAATCAGGAATAGCCTAACAGACAAGACAGGCGAGTCACCACAGCCCAGGGAAGAGCATCTGCACAGAAACAAACAGGGAAGAGGAGATGTCCAAGTGAGTCCTTGACAAAGAGAGTTCCAGAAGGCTCCAGAAGGCCACTTCTTACCTCCTGGTTCTTTCTGGAAGCCTGGGAAGATGGGATACCTTGAAGAAGGTCATGGTCTTGACAGAGTCCCAAGGTATTATGATACTAAACCAAAGGATGGTATCTCCACGTGGGGTCCAACACACCATTACTTACCTGTAGTAAAGTTAGCTGTCACTTACACAACGCTAATATTTAGAGGTACTTTTACACATTATCTCATTTCACTCCTCTTTTTGCAAATAAGGAAAGCAAATCTTAGAGAAGTTAAGTTACTTGGCTAGCAGGCCACAGGACTAGAACTCAACCTCAGATTCTGGACTCTAAAACCCAGGTATTTTCCACTGGGACTTTTGTCTGTAGGAGGGGGAGAAATACTACAGGGAGGGGAACCACAGGGGACTTTTCAGGGTCCCCATCAGGGTCCTTTCTAAAATGGATAACTTATTTCAATTCTTTTTCCTTCCCTCCTCACACATAGAGTTGAGAGCTAGAACTGAGAATCTGCTCCTAGAGAACCCTCATCTATCACCACAACCTAAGGAATAAACGGATCTCTGATCCTGAAGAGCCCTAGCTTCCCCATTCCCAGGTCATCTACAGTTCCTCTGCCTTATCCTGAGCACCTTTCCAAGAAGAAGACAGATGAACAAGAACAGAAGCAGAACCCCACACAGAAGACAGCATCGTCTTCCCCACGCTCTGTGAACCTCGCAGGCCCCCTTGTGACCTCCACAGAAGAGCACCGGAGCAGAAACAACTTTCGCAGCAGTGTCAACTCCGCCTTCACCCACCCCAGTGCCGAAGGCCCCTCCAGTTCTCTATCTCCCAGTCCTGCTCTGTTCTCTATCTTCGTTCAAATCAGAATTGGATCAAGAGAGCAAAGACTGATGATGCTGTTTTTGATGAGGCTCTCCCACCTCTCTGGAACGTGACCTGAAGGGAAGTGTCCCTGCTGAAGTTGATCAGGGCTCCTCTCTTCCTCTGCCGGAGAACAGCCACTAGGGGAGAAAACTGGTGACCATGAGAACCTGGAGCTCCTCCCATGGAACCTGAGGGCCGGGCACAGTGGGGACTGCTAGATACAGCTAGAGGCACAGATTCTCCCAGAAGTGAGCAAATGTTCCAGGGCAGAGGCAACTTTCCATCTTTGTTCACATATAGAAGCAGCCAGATGTTCTAAATCAAAAAAGGGGATTTGTCTACACAAGGGAATTTTTTCTGACTTTTCATATTTGTTTATATGCAAAGCCTTCCAAAGATATACAAATTAAAGCACATGAAGTTATGTATTAATTGAATCGTATTTACTTAAAAGAATAATGCTATGCATCGATGCGGGACTCCCCCCAGATCCAGTGTGCAGCGCTGCCAGGGGTACTGAAGAACACAATCCTTTCGGTAATCTTTTCTTCCCTGCAATGGTTCGCAAAGAAAGAAACAGGAAGAATGTGATGTTCAAAACTGAACTAAGGAGATTTTGGAGCAGGGCTCCTCAGGGCCTAGGAGAGGAAGGAATTCGAAGCCTTCTTAACTGTGTTGAAAACAATCCCACCGTTTTATGCCTCCCCAATTGTATTTACCGCATTATACTGTAAAGCTTTCCCTTCTTATTTCTGTATACACTCGGAGCTCTCTGAGGCCAAAGTCCTCACTGTATTCATCTTTGAATCCCCTGTGCCTAGTGCAGTGCCTCACAAGGAGCCCAATAAACACTTGTTAAGTGATTCATCTATGGCCTGGCAGACTGTAAGCTGTGCCAACCGGGAACTGATGCTCTCTAAAGTCTTTCAGGTCTCAACTTTTAAATTTGGTTTGTTTCCTTGATTTCCAAGTAAAATTTCTTTTTTAAAAAATCCAGGCCAGGCACAGTGGCTCACACCTGTAATCCCAGCACTTTGGGAAGCTGAGGTTTGATTGCATCACGGAGGGATTTTGTCCATGCCTACATGTAGTGCCTACATGTAATGAAAGTGAGATAAGGTTCATTTTAAGGATAGATGAAGACTCCACCACAAAAAAACTGTTACATCTCATGGACAAATTCTTAATAAAAACTGAATTAAGAGTGTGCAACTCAGCTCCAGGCTATAGAAATTTGAAGGGTCATTGAACACTGAGGAGCCAGAAAACCAGTCTGAGAGTGGAGCTACGTCAATAACACAGAGAGCGTGAAGCAGTTGGGCCAGGAGGATCTGGCGTCAACCTGCTAAGATGAATTTCCATCAAAAGAGTCCCTAGAAATTCATCGCAGGAATCTTTTATAGATGCAGCCATTGTGCTGTAGCACCTCTCTGCAGGGTGTCTTAGGGGCAACACAGATCAAGTGGAAGACCATCATGGCCGCCTTTTGCGGACCGTAGGGATCTCTCACAGACTCTTCTTTGCTTGTGCCTTCCAAGTTCAACCCCTGATAAACCAGGAAGGGGGACTCACACGCAGTGAGTTTGACGACCTTAGGGAGTTAAAGAGGGCATGACTGCTCTCTGGGCAAATAAGGGAAAGCAGCGGGTTCCCTTTAGTTATTTAGTACAATTCTGTTCCATTTGCGGGAATAAACAGATCTTCCTCACCAGGGAACTCAACAAAACATTTACAGAGCACTTTCTATACATGCGACACAGTGAATACAACTATATATTAATCAGTGCTGGCTTAACTTTGGTAACAAGCACCAAAATTCAGTGACTGAACACCCAAGAGGTTGGTTTCTATTTCACGTGCTTAGGTCCTCCACGCAGCCCCCAAGGTCACTGTGGCTAATCGCCATCTCTTTGGGCCTTGTTATCATTTGCCCACCCCAGTACCGAGGGCCCCTCCAGTTCTCTTTCTCCCAATCCTGCTCTGTTCTCTATTTTCGTTCAAATCAGAATTGGATCAAGAGAGCAAAGACTGATGATGCTGTTTTTGATGAGGTTCTCCGACCTCCCTGGAAGATGACCTGAAGGGCAAGCCACGGAAAGGGAAAGGGAACGTGGAGGGGCTCATTCATTTCAGGCTCACTCTCTGGGCCTGAAATGGCATATTCCAATGAGAAGGAGGTGGCTTTACCAAAAAGAGAAGCAGGAAGCCCCGTCCTGACATCCTCACCCCGAGTAAGCTCTGCTAATTCAGCACACTCGGTCTCTGTGGGGCACGATGCTGCCCAGCTTCATGGACTGTCCCTCTCCTGGCTGGTTCCTGGGCTCATTCCTCCTCTGCTGTGGGTCACCTCCCTTGTTGCACTTACCAATGCTCCTGCAAACCTGGGGTTCGTTGCCTGCCCCCAAACCACCCCTCACTCATCCAGTCAACACATATTGATTTCTTGTTAGATGCCAGGCAAGAGGCTAGGTGCTGGGATATAGTGACACATAAGTCACACAGGGTCAAAGCCTTCATGGAACTTACATTCTTATGTAGAGAACACAAAGAAAAAGTCAATCAATCATTAAACAGTCCAGGAGCAGTGGCTCATACCTGTAATCCCAGAACTTTGGAGGGCCAAGGCAGATAAATCACTTGAAGCCAGGAGTTCAAGACCAGCCCGGCCACTGGACAACATAGTGAAACCCCACCTTTACTAAAAATACAAAAATTGCTGGATGTGGTGCACACCTATAATCCCAGATACTCAGGAGTCTGAGGCACGAGAGTCACTTGAAGCTGGAAGGCAGAGGTGGCTGAGTTGTGATCCTGCCACTGCACTCCAGCCTCTGCAATAGAGAAAGACCCTGACTCAGAAAGAAAAAAAAAATCATTAAACAAATAATTTCCAAGAGCAATAAGATTTTTTTTAACCCTCCAGAGTTCAAGCAATTCTGATGGCTCAGCTTCCCAAGTAGCTGGAATTACAGGCGTGTGCCACCGCACCCAACTAATTTTAGTATTTTTGGTAGAGAGGGGGTTTCACCGTGTTGGCCAAGCTAGTCTCGAACTGCTGACCTCAAGTGATCTGCCCACATTGGCCTCCCAAAGTGCGGGAATTACAGGCATGAGCTACTGCACCCATCAACAATAAGATTTTTTAAGGGAAATAAAACTGTGTGTGAATGAAACGTCCAGGGTCAGAGGGCTCATGTCAGCAGAGAGGTTGGAAAATCCCTCTCTGAGACTTAGGAGAAGAGAAGGAGCAGCCATTCAAACACAGAGGGAGGCTTGTGCCTGGTAGCAAGTCCCAAGTCCTAGAAACAGGAAGGGGCTTGGCACGTCTGAGGGTCAGCTGGATGGCCACTGTGGCTTATGCCCTGTAGGAAGGGAGTAGCCTGAGGTGAGATCAGAGACCTCGAGGAGTCCACATCACACAGGGAGAGCTGGGATAAATTCATTCAGTCACTCTGCAAACATTTATTGAGCACTAACAAGTCCAGAGAGTGAAGATATCACAGTGAAGATAAATCCCACGCTGGTAGAGCTCACAAGTGTCAAGGAGCCAAAAAGTCAACAAATAAATGAATAAATAAACCATAAGGCACCAGGTAATGGTAAGAGCTCTAAAGCAGAAAAAGCAGGATGAGAGAGTTGATTCCTATTGTAGATGGGATGGAAGGCGAGGCCTCTGGTGAGGTGAGCCAAGACTTGGAGGGAGAGAGGGAACAAGCCACATGCATACGTGAGTGCGTAGCATTCCAGGGAGCCCTCAAGGTCGCCATGCAATATTTGTTCATCCGAATTTCATATGTAACTCAGCATCCCGTGCTTATTACATCCCATAACGTGCTGAGTCACATACGAAATTCAGGTGAACAAATATTGCATGGAGCATACTTACACTAAGAATTCTTCATTGTTTCTCTGTAATTCAATTTTGACTGGGCATTTTGTATTTTTATTTACTAAATCTGGCAACCATTGGAGAGAGGGAACAGAAAGTGTAAGGACTTTGAGGCAGAAACGTGGGTGGCACATTCAAAGCATAGCAGGAAGGCTACCGCAGGGGGTGTGGTAGAAGGGGAGGCTGGAGAGGGAGGCGGAGGCCGGAGCACGCAGGGCCACGTGGGCCATGGTGAGCACTTTGAACTTCATTCTCAGTGGAATGGGGAGCCTGGAGGAGTTTGAGCAGCTATGTGAAGGACACCAACAGAAGACACAGGATTGCTACCTAATCATCCACCGCTAGAAGGGCCACGCGGAGGTGCTGGAAGTACAAGCTTGTTCCAAGTCCAAGCATCCCACTGCAATACACCTGTGGCAGAGAGATGGGAACTGAGGAGTTACAGCTCAAATAGGTACATGATTCTGAGCAGTGATCAGGGGCACCCTCTCTCAACTTGCCCTTCTCTCATTCTGCTTGAAGTCGCCTTGAAGCAGCAGGAGGTCAGAGAGATCATCAGAGTGTCCAAGGCTCCAGCCACCACTATTTCCTCATCCTCTAGGAAAAATGCCATTAATGCTGCTGCCCACGGGCCTCTGGCCACGGTCGTGGAGCCCACCGGCACCAGCCCCCATGGAAATCTATGTCACATTTCTTTCTCTTCAAAATGGGGCAGGGAAAGTTTCCATCCTAGGAGAAAATTGCCTTAGATGAACCTCTTCCTCTTCTCTTGACCTGACTCCTCTTCTGTCAATCTTGGGTAGTGATCATGGGAAAGAAGGGACTGGGCTTCCTTTGGACTAGCCACTGCCATCGACTCTTTTCCCTCTTGTCAGCAGTCCTGTGCCTACAGCCTCGGCTCCTGGTGCTCCAGCTGTCGGCTTTAATCAACAGCAAGAGTAAATACAGGCAGATGCTGCCTGCTCCCAGAATGCTCTGTAAAGTTTCTCACACACAGCTTGAAAAGGAACATTTTCCGGGATTGATTTAGGACATGTGACTCTATAAACATCCAGACTCCTGCTGAGAGTGGGCAAGAAAAGAGCTGGGGCAAGGTGGTGCTTCCCTTAAAGAAATGAAGGAAGGAGATTTGTGACTTCTTAGCACACTCTAGACCTCAATTTCCAATAGCAGCATCTGATTCCAATTTCATTGGTTGAATGATCCTCTATAAAAAGTATTGATTCATGGACTGAAGTAAGAGTCATAGATATACCTGGAAGGGGTTCTCCGGTTATTTGTCTCTGTCCTTGGCTTTGTCCTGTAAAATATTTACTTGAACAGCTTAAATTCCATCATGACATTTATGCTTACAGAAAACCCAAAACTAGGAGGTACTGTAATGTAGAGAGAAAGCGCTGAGCCGTCTAAGCCATGTTGGGCGATTTGCTGAACCACTCTGAGCTGCCGTTTCTGCATGTGCAAAATGGAAATAATAAATTCTTCTGAGGATTAACCGGGAAGCCCTCTGCAAAATCTGGCACAAAGGACTCACTCAAGAGGTCGTGGTTTTCTTCCCTCTGTTTTGTCTTCTGCAAAATGAGGGCAATAAAGTTACAAATGTTGTTAGAACCTGAAACGCAACTGACTCAAAAGGGAGACTGAGTTGTTGGATAGCTACCACAGGCTGGAATACTAGATCCGAATCAAGACAATGAACGTTGATACGCCATGCAGTTAATAACTAATAAGAGCACAGAGAATGCACGCTTGATAACCATTCCAATGAAAAAGACCTAAGAGTTTCAATTAGCCGCAAGCTCAGTTTGAAACAAGAATGGGACACATTTACCATGAGAAGCTATGCAACTGTATATTATATTATAATAATAATTAACGTATATTGAACACATACTGTGTCCCAAGTAATACTCTAAGTACTGTGCTCGATTCATTTAATACCCCCAACCATCCTATGAGATACTACTTTTATCAGCAGTTTATGGGTGCCAAACTGAAGCAAAGAGAAGTAACCTGCCTATATTCACAGAGTTTGTGAATAGCAGAGCTAGGGCTGGATAACTTCACTCTGTGCGTAGTGCACCTGGAGCTACTGAGTTAGTTCTGAGCACCATGTCAGGTACAGCCACGCTTTCTCTACCCTGGTGTCACCCCAGCCCTGAGGAAGGTGTTAGGAATGGCACTGCTTGCTTGTAATTAAGCCACCCACCCAGGCCCAGGTTCCAAAGGCCAAGCCAAGGCTTCAAGATGCCCACATTTCTCTCCAGATCATCTCACTACAAGGGACTCCGTGTCTCAAGGAAGGTCTCGGGTGCCCTTATTGCCTCTTAACTCTTCCTGCCCCCTCTCACACACAATCTATTAAAATGATTCCCAAGAAGTTAATGGCTATGAAAAATGATGGTACAAAAAAATGAGTCAATGATATTTCTTTGAAGTCTCATATTTTCTCCTAAAAATTCATATAAATTTTGTACTCTGCTCCATACCATATCTGGGTTGGTTTTAATATTGAAATAATATTTTAAGCAACTTAGCGCTGAGTAAATTGATGCACTAGTGTGATGAACCACAATTTTCCTGCAGCTGATAGAAACCCTGGCACACTGCTACATGTCCCCATTTGAAAAGCTCAGAACTGCAGATGCATCTTTCATAACATGGAAAGTTGTCCAAGGCACATCATTAAGCAATAAAAGCAGGTTACCAAACAGTACAGTTCTGTTTTTGTATACATTTGGAAGGCTATGTATGTATACCAAAATCTTAACAGAGGATCTCTCTAGACTGTAGGAATGTGAGAGATTTTTATTTTTCTCTTTTTCTTTCTCATGTAAATTAATCTTTCTACAGTGAGCATACATACTGTTTGTGGAGGTAGAATACAGGGTTTGGTGATGATGGATTTCTTTGAGGAGGATGTGGTTAGTTTTGCTTTGTAAGTTTTTTGTTTGTTTGTTTTGTTTTTGAGACCAAGTCTTGCTCTGTCACCCAGGCTGGAGCACAGTGGCACAATCTCGGCTCACTGCAACTTCCACCTCCCAGGTTCAAGTGATTCTCCTGCCTCAGCCTCCTGAGTAGCTGGGACTACAAGCACATGCCACCATGCCCAGCTAACGTGTGTGTGTGTGTGTGTGTGTGTGTGTGTGTGTGTGTGTGTGTTTTTAGTAGAGACTGGGTTTCACCGTGTTAGCCAGGATGGTCTCAATCTCCTGACCTCGTGATCCACTCTCCTCAGCCTCCCAAAGTGCTGGGATTACAGGTGTGAACCACCGCACCCGACCCCTTTGTAAGATTTAACAGTTCACAGCTACCTGAATTGTGCAGACACCTACTTCAGCAAACTACACCTTTCACATCCTGAGACCCTCCGAAGCAGGGAACCAAACTACAAGAAAACGTCATGCACAAGAATTTAATCAGGCATCCTCCCTGGCTCCCCACCTTGTTGCCTTGTAACTCTGCTAGCTGTGACCTCAAATTTCTGCAATAATCACACAAACCCCTCGCACCTCCAGAGTTTTCTGTGGCACATCCCAGTGGCCAAAACCCCAACGCAGCTTAATCTTCCGGCAATAGGCTTCTGTGTGCAGCCCACACTCTCCCAGCAGCCAGCTCCAAGGTTCACCAGGTTTTGCCTTACATCTGATCTTAACACTGACAGTTCGCATGCTTCGTGCAGGCCAAGAAGCAGAAGCTTCCCCGGATTGGACTGGTTTTCCTCACACCGGATGCTGTCTGAATCTTGTCGCAGCTCACTGCACATTTGACACTTGCGGCTTGACTCTTGTCTTACTCCCCGAGAGCCTGTCCCACTGCAAGTTCAGTTCCCCTCCTTCTGTCTCACCTAGACCAAAGGTCTCAATCCAGATCACCCTTCCTATCTCACTTGTGATGTCGTGAGTTATAGTTAATAATTTGTCACCTATTTATTGTGTAGCAAGCACATGCTATGTACCTCATGCATTGTCTAATTTTCACAGTAAGCCTCGAAGGTAGACTTCACAGTCCTCATTTCACATGGAGGGAAACCAAGGCTCGGGAGCTCCAGCAAAGCCTAAGATCACTGTTCTGGCCGGGCGTGGTGGCTCACACCTGTAATCCAAGCACTTTGGAGGCCAAGGTGGGTGGATCACCTGAGGTCAGGAGTTCAAGACCAGCCTGACCAACATGGTGAAACCCCATCTTTAAAAAAAAAAAGATCGCTGTTCTGATAATCTTTTGCTGCATAATAAATCACTCCTAAACTTCGTGACTTAAAACGAGCATTTTATTCTGGGGCTAACTGGGCTTAGCTGGGTGATTCTCGCTGAGGTCACTCATGACGCTGCAGTCAGAGAGCGGCTAGGGCTGGAGCCATCTCAGTGACTTCCCACAACACATCCAGTGTTCGAACTGGCTACAGATGAGGACTCCAGCTGGGCTATCAGCCAAAACATCCAAATGTGGCTCTCCATGGGTTCTCTCCACTTGGGTCAGTTTCGGCTTCCTTGCAGCACGGTGACTGCATCCCAAGGGTATACAACCAAAGAGGACAAGATGGAGGAAGCGCATGGCACGTCTATGACCTAGGCTCGGAAGTCACACAGCACCACTTCTGCCATCACTTACTGGCTCTGCGGCCACAAAGGTCAGCCCAGGTTCAAGTGGAAGGAACGCAGAACCCACCACTTGATGAGATGCGTGCTGCGACTCTGCAAGAAGAATACATGGGATGCGATTATTGTGGCAGCCATCTTTGGGAAATGCAGTCTGCCACAATCACTCAGCTATTACCTTGGACAGGGCCAGGATTTAAACCCAGATCAGCCCAACTGCAAAACCTGTGCTCTTAAATCATGGCAGCACGCCACCGGGAGAGATTCATAACGTCTCCAGCACTGAGCCTGAGTTACAGAATGGAACGCATCAGGAAGATGTTAACCAATGGTGTGTCCGGGAAGCGGAGGCCAAGATGTCGAGAAGCCGGGAAACCATGTTGTATGATTTAACAAACAGATGAGGATATTTAGCTGCAAGAAGACAAAACTGAAAAGGGACATGACAGCTTTCTTCAAATATATGAAGGGTGAGTATGGAAAAGGGAAGACATTGTGTATAGCAGCCTTCAGTGGATGAAAGAAGCAGCGAGACAGACAGGGTTATCAGCTCTCCCTACTACATCGAGTCCACTGTTAGGCATAAAGACTTAGGACCCACCAAGTGTTGAGTACCAGCTTAGAGCTTTAGGATCCATTCATTTATTTTGCTGCAGTGGGGGGCTATGAGTCAAAAGTGTTCTCGCCTGCCTTGGGCAGAATGAGCCCAAAGGAGGGATGGGTCAGTCAAATCTCAGAGTCACCACAGAGTCTCAGTGCCCTACCAGGATAGCATCCCCAGGGCAGGACAGCAGTTTCCTCCCCCTAACCTTCCACTTCTCCTCTACAAATGCAGTCATGCCTGGGGCATGTGTCACAGTGACAAATTTCAGTCTCCGATGGCAAAACTCCGGGGCCCCATCCCTGTCTGCCTGTTAAGCTGTAAGCCCTTTCCCTGGCCCACCAGGGAAAACCTCGGAGAAAAGAGAAAAAGATTGGGTTTCCAGAACATTAAACTTCCATCGCTACTGCTGCCTGCCAATCTCCCTACTAATTATTTGGAGAAAAGAAAGTCAATGTACCTCCGAGGGAGTCAGGAATGGGGCCCTCCCTCCACAGCAGTGCCTGCTGGCAAATCCTTGTCTTTTCAGCAGAAAGAGATCTTGGAAGGTCAATTCATCTCTTCCTTTGCCCCGGACCAGACTCACTTCATGTAGTGAAAGAAGCCTGGCCGAGCCAAAGGGATGGTTTTCCCTCCATATTTGGTGACAAAAATATCAACCAGAGTTTACTCAAGAGCCAGCAAATATTTAGTACTTGCCATGTGCCAGACACCAGGCTGATCAAATAGGCCTCCAACGTTCTGTCTCCAGTTTCTAATCAAGGGCTTAAGCAGCAGATGCCAAGGAAGGAACGGTCCTCAGATTTGAGGATATAAATGTTGAAATCCTTTCTTCCCCACCCTACTCTACCACCTGCAGCAACCCAGAGTGTACACATGCTTCCTGCCTTCTTTTCCGGCATGGCTAGACTGGGAAAGATTTTCATGTGTGGCAGCAGATTGTTCCAACACACAGGTTCAATGGCGTTTGGCCCGCAGTGAGATACAGCAAAAAGACCATGCCCTGAACATAGAGGCAAGAGACAAGGTCACAATGTGAGCCCGGACATGTCACTCAACCTCCGTGATTTGCATTTTCCTTATAGGTAAAGTGGGATTAATGATACCTCCTACTTCATAAATCGATCATCCCATTCGAGTCCCTTCAATCAGCCTAGCTCACCATGCTGCCACACATGATTGGAGGACATTTTGGAAAACATGCACAGAGAGGGTGTAGGGAAATGGGCCTTGTTAGGCATTGTCAATGGAAGTCTAAGTTGGTGCACCCTTTGGGGAGGTAGGTGACAAAGTTTCAAAGTAAATGTATTGTTCTCACCCTTTTCCTCCAAATCTTTCGAGGAATTTACTTTGGATGTGAAATAATTCATGCTGCAACAACAGTCATCACAACATCATTTGTCATCTATTCACTTGTACTATACTATAGAAAATGTACATATGAGCTGGGCGCGGTGGCTCATGCCTGTAATCCTAGCACTTTGGGAGGCTGAGGTGGGCGGATCACCTGAGGTCAGGAGTTCAAGGCCAGCCTGACCAATATGGTGAAACCCCATCTTTAAAAAAAGAAAAAGTACACATGATTGGTATTTACATTTTAAAGAATAGCCATAATGGGCTGGGGTCAGTGGCCCATGCCTGTAATCCCAGCACTTTGGGAGGCCAAAGCGGGCAGATCACCTGAAGTCAGTAGTTCAAGATCAGCCTGGCCAACGTGGTGAAGCCCCATCTCTACTAAAAATACAAAAATTAGCCAGGCATGGTGGTGGGCATATGTAATCGCAGCTATTTGGGAGGCTGAGGCAGGAGAATCACTTGAACCAGGGAGGCAGAGGTTGCAGTGAGCCAAGATTGTGTCATTGCACTTTAGCCTGGGGAACAAGATCAAAACTCCATCTCAAAAAAAAAAAAAAATATTGCCTGTCCTATTCCCTCCTCCTCCCTCCCCAACTCTAGCCACCCACTGCCCCAAATTTTGTACTAATCATTCCCTTTCTTTCCTCTGTGGTTTAATCACACATCTGTGTATATCTAAAAAAGGAGAAGCTTCATTCCTGTTTTGATCTCTATTCAAATATGTTCAATTTGTGTACTCTTGTCCACAATTTTGGTTCTAACTTGATTTTTACTTTAAGAATTTCAGTTTAGGCAGGGCACGGTGGCTCACGCCTGTAATCCCAGCACTTTGGGAGGCCGAGGCAGGTGGATCACGAGGTCAAGAGATCGAGACCCTACTGGTCAACATGGTGAAACCCCGTCTCTACTAAAAATACAAAAAAATTAGCTGGGCACGGTGGCGCATGCCTGTAATCCCAGTTACTCGGGAGGCTGAGGCACGAGAATCGATTGAACCCAGGAGGCGGAGGTTGCAGTGAGCCGAGATCGCGCCATTGCACTCCAGCCTGGGTAACAAGAGCGAAACTCCGTCTCAAAAAAAAAAAAAAAAAAATTCGGTTTAATAATAATAAATTAGGGTTTTTTTTACTATCAATATTTATTTATACATGTAAACCTTTGCTATTCTCTTTACCATCTCTTCTTGCACTTCAAACCTCCTTCTGGGAACATGTTTCTTGTTCCTGGTATGTTACCTTTATACATTTCTTTAGTAAGTGTCTCTTAGTGTCAGTTGTACCGATTTTGTTTTAAAAACATTTTTAAATTGTCTTTATTTTAAGAGATCATTTTGGTGGGAGCAGAATTCTAGCATAATAAGTATTTTCATTTAACACTCTGAAACTGCCATTCTGCAGCCTTCTGGCTTCCATAGCTGCTGCTGAGAAATAAGCAGTGGATGCAATGCCCCCAGCTTTGTAGAGAATCTGTCTTTTCTGTCTGACTCCTTTTAGGATCCTCTGTTTATCTTTAGTGGTTTTGGTTTTCCTTTTTTTTTAATTACACTTTAAGTTCTGGGGTACATGTGCAGAACGTACAGGTTTGTTACATAGCTATACACGTGCCATGGTGGTTTGCTGCACCCATCAACCCATCATCTACATTAGGTATTTCCCCTAATACTACTCCTCCCCTGATCCCCCACCCCTCAACAGGCCTCAGTGTGTGATGTTTCCTCCCTGTGACCATGTTTTCATTGTTCAACTCCCACTTTGAGTGAGAACATGTGGTGTTTGGTTTTCTGTTCCTGTGTTAGTTTGCTGAGAATGATGGTTTCCAGCTTCATCCATGTCCCTGCAAAGGACATGAACTCATTCTTTTTATGGCTGCATGGTATTTCATAGTGTCTCTGTGCCTTGTTTTTTTAATCCAGTCTATCATTGGTGGGCATTTGTGTTGGTTCCAAGTCTTTGCTATTTGAATTGTGCTACAATAAGCACACATGTACATGTGTCGTTATAGTAGAATAATTTATAATCCATGTTTTCAGTTTCTCTATAAAATGTGGGTTTCTTTTCCTTTATCCCACTTTGGATTCACTGAGCTTGTTTGAGCTGAGGACTGCTCTTTCATTAGAACTAGACATTTTTCAGTAATTATCATTTCAAGTACTTCTCTCTCACTCTCACTATCATTCATTGAAATTTTGATTATATGTATGTTGTATCTCCCAACTCTCTCTTTTATATCTCCTAAATCTTTCATCTTCATCTTTCTGTTGTATTCTAGGTCATTTTTCAGAGCAACCTCCAGATCACCAATTCTCTTTTCAGCTGTGTCTAAGTTACTATCATATTTATTGAGTTTCTAATTTCAATGATTTTCTTTTACTAAAAGGTCTATTTGCTTCTTTATGATATCTAACTAGGTTACTCTAAGTCTTTTGTTTCCTCATTACACTTTCAGTACTCTCTTTTATTTCATAAACAAATTAAATGTATTTATTTTGCACTTGATATTGGATAAGTAAATCCAAGTCATTACAATCTTCCAGAAACATGATGGTCTCACTCAGGGTAATTTACTTACTTACGTGTTTGTTGAATTTTGATTGTGAAGTCCACGTCCTCTGGAACTTTATCTGTGAGAATTCTCTGAGACCAGGGTTTAAAGTGTGTTCTGTCTGGAAAGATTTGTTGCTGCTGTTTTATGAGCCCTAGGGGTAGTACCAATCTAGAAGACTTCAAATTTTCAAATGGTGTCTAAGTTTAAGATTAGAAATTTGAGAAAGACTTTTTTTTCTTCTATTCCATCAAGAGTCAAGGATAACAACAAATAACTTCACCAACTCTCTCTCCCTTTGAGTCTGTTTTTTCTGGTTCATCTACCAAGAGTTTCACCCCTCAGAGGTCCCAATTTTGTATATGGATTCAACCTGCTTGATCCCTGGACTATAACTCCCATCTCTGATGTATATGATCCATGTTACCTATTGAAACCCAGTTAGGCCCCAAGACAAACACTAGCTCTACAGCTCACTTATTCTTTTCATTTAATGTTTTGTTGTTGTTGTTTCTTATTCCCCTTGGCTGGGTGTGGTGATTCATACCTGTAATCCCAACACCAGGAAGAAGGAATGCTTGAGCCCAGAAGTTCAAGATCAGCCCGGGAAACACTGCAAGACCTCAATTGCACAAAAATAATAACATTAGCCAGGCATGTGAGTATGCACCTTTGTTATGCACCTGTAGTCCTAGATACTCAGGAGGCTGAGGTGGGAGGATCACTTGAACCCAGGAGTTCAAGGTTGCAGTAAGCCATGATTGTACTCCAGCCTGGGTGACAGAGCAAGACCCTGTCTCTAAACTAAGTAAATAAATAAGAAACTCCCCTTATTTTGTGCCAACTCAACCATGCATTCATGTATTTTTAAAGGTGAGGTGGGAATATATATATGTGTCTCTATGTGTGTGTATCAGTCTCTCTCTCTCTCTCTCTCTCTCTCTCTCTCTCTCTCTCTCTCTCTCTTTTTATACATACATATATATACACACACACATACTATCATTTGGAGGCATACCGTCCCTGGAGGAGTTTCATAGAACATCTAGTCTACTATATTTCATGGAAAGATACATTTAATCATATTTGTCGGCAAGGGAAGATGTCAATATAAGGAGTGAGTGTAAATCAAGTTACATAACAGTGTTCTGTCTGTATTTCAGGTTAAGTGATGCTTGCTTTGTCTTTGTATTTTTCTATATCGTTTTACTTTTTTGTAATGAGAATTATTTTAACAAACCCCATTTTCTCAATTCTACTCATTATGTAAATATACAAAACGTGTGGCTTCTTAGTTTCTCTGTAACATGCTTAATTGTTCTTCTGCAGTCTCCATCCTGGTGGAAAGTACAGGACTATGGAAAAGGAGCCTACAGTACCAGACACATTGTATGGGTCTCACCAGATTTGCTCCACTTGCCTCTCCCCTCATCCACATACTCAATGGATAGTCCCAGCAGCTACCACCACAGCCTCATCTACTGACACAATGTCTATCTCAGCCTTCTCAGTAGGTACTCTTGTGTCTGCCATGGAAGAAGACGAGGCTCTAATGCCTAGGTCTGACTCAACAGGATTACGAAGATCCAGTTCCTCTCACCACTCCCAGACTCAGACAAAGGGTGTATTATTACCTATTGCTTTCTAACAAATTACTTCAAAACTTGTGGTTTAAACAATAAACATTATCTCACATATTGAGTGGGTCAAGAATCTGGGCGTGGCTTAGCAAGATGGTTCTGGCTGAGAGTCCCTCATGAAATGGCTGTCAGGATTGACAAGAATTGCAATCATCTGAAGGCTTGACAGAGCCTGAAAGATCCACAGCCAAAACACCCCGCTCTCACGGCTGTTGGCAGGAGACTTCAGATCCTCACCATGCAGGCCTCTCTATGCGCTGCTTAAGTATGCTCACACTGGAAGCTGGCTTCTCCCAAAGCAAGGCCAGTTGACCCTTAAGCAGCATGGATTTGAACTAAGAGGATACACTTACATGCAGACTTTCTTCTGCCTCTGCCACCCCTCAGACAGCAAGACCAATCCCTCCTCTTTCTCCTCCTCCTCAGCCCACTCAAGGTGAAGATGACAAGGATGAAGACCTTTACAATGATATACTTCCACTTAATGAAGAGTAAGTATATTTTCTCTTTCTCATAATTTTCTTACATATAACATACAAAATATGTGTTAATCAACTGTTTATACTAGCTGTAAGGCTTCTGATTAGTAAGAGGCTATTAATAGCCAAGTTTTGGGGAAAATCAAAATTATACATGCATTTTTGCCTATGCAGGAGTTGGTACCCCGAACCCCCATGTTGTTCAAGAGTCAGCTGTTTTTGTTTAAGAGTAAGGAAGAAGGCACAATGCCTTTTATGACCTAATCTCTGCAATCACACAATGTCACATTCACTTTATTCTGTTTGTTAGAAACAAGTCTCTAAGACCAGCCCACACTCAGATAGAGGGGAATTAGGCTCCACCTCTTAAAGAGAGGAGTACAAAAGCATTTGTGGACATATTTTAAAACTGCTGTAAAGAAGTATGGCTTGAGCATTGGATCTCTAACTTCCTCAGAATCCTACCAGAGGAAAGAGGTAACATGACTTCATGGTGTAGTAAAGTTAATATACCATGTGGCAAATGGTGATCATTGAAAGACAGGAGAGAGGAGAATGCAACAGATAAATTCAAATCACCCCTCCCCACACAGACTATTTTGAGGTATGATGATCTCCTATGGCCCAGCCGGAGGAAGTCCCAGGTGTCTGAAACCAAATGGTTTTTTTGTGAGATGATGGCTTACTTCTCTTCTTCTCTGCCTCACTTTTGCTTTTTCCCTTATCTTTGCTGCCCTAGACTTGCACCATTCAGTAAAGCTTTAGCATATATCTTTATCTCAAATTCTGTGTTCTCAAATTTTGTCTTAAGAAGTTAATCTTGAAAATTACTAGCACTGACATAAACATATTTTCGGATGGTTCAGTTTCTCCGGGGTAAATGTTCAGACTTCTGAATTTCCTCCCTAGACACTCCACCACCACCCTGACTCTTCCTTAACAGTAGCAGGTGCATCATGGATCCTACTTCACCTTGCGGTAATGGGAGAGAACGCATCTCTAGTCCAAGCTGACCTCTGCCTGGGCTATTCATCTAGTCTGTTTCCTAGACTCTTTCATAACTGAGCCTGACTTCTTAGGATGATGAATGAGCTCCCACCACTAAAAACCACAGTTTTGATCCTTTCTCTCCAGTTGCAAAGTCCCCTGTTCAGTGAACACTTTGTTCCATCCCCAGGCCTCTGCTGGACTACAAGCTTTCCCAGCACCCCAACCAAAGCACATTAGAACTCCTAAGTTCCAGGGCACGACATTCCCAGGCTGTGGAGAACAGGAGCACTGGCTCAGTCTCATCAAATTACCCATCTCCCTTCTCTTTAGCTCCTGTGCCATGTTGAGGGAATGCAAGGCTGGAGACATTAACCCCCATGTTCTTAGTTTCCTTCATATCTATCTGAATGTTTCTACTGTATCCAGTGATTTGGCCTATGGGAATAAAAACGAGGACACTGCACTCCGACTCCATCATCCTTCCTCCACCTCTCCTTTCTTCTTCCAAACCCCTCAGGTGAGAAGTGGTGAGCTTCCCAAGTGACTTCCATTGTGCCACAGTCTGAATTATCTCTTTTGTTTTTGTTTTGTTGTGTTTTGTTTTTTATTTTAAAAAAATGATTTTCTTTTTTTAGTTTTATTTTTTATTTTTTTTTTAAGACGGGGTTTCACCATGTTGGTCAGGCTGGTCTTGAACTCCCGACCTCAGGTGATCCACCCACCTTGGCCTCCAAAGTGCTTGGATTACAGGCGTGAGCCACCGTGCCTGGCCGAATCTCTATTGTTTACGGGAAATTCTGTGATCATATTATCGGGAAGCTGATGAATTTAGAAATTTATTTGCTTTCTACACAAAATCTTACTTCCAAGACTGTTTTCCCTTGATGGATTCAAAAACAAGAACTTGGCTCTAAGATTTAAACTGAACAATGACCTCTTGTTTGAGGTGGTTCCTGCCCTTCCTAAAGCACTAAAACCTATTGCTTTCATAGGTGGAGAACCTCAGGAAATCAAAATGTACAGGATATGAATACATATCCAAAATACATTTTAAACATGTTGTCTAACTGCCTTAAGCAATTGGAGTATTTTCTCAAAAAGTACCATTATCGTCATCAATTCTTCACTGAAGTCACCTCCAACTTGCCTATTAAGGATATCCTCCCCCTTCCTCCAGACCGAGCCCTAGCTACCAAATCCCTCTTTACAGACAGCTCAGTTTGGACCTATTTTCCCAGCTTAGAACTTAGCCATTCTTCAAGCATGTGAGTTCCAGTACTAAGCCTTCTCGACCCAGGTTAAGAAAGCACTTACCAAATCTCATTTCCTCACCTCGCAGTCAGGAAAGAAAGATCAAGCACAGTGACGTTTTAAGACATGAAAAGATGTACGTGAAGTCACTTTGCAAACTGTAACACACTTTACAAACATCAAGTATTATCTCATAAAAGAGGCCTTCTCAAGCAACTGAGAATGGTCGGTTCCATCTTTTGAACCATCACAGTTGTCCCCAGGGGCCAGGGAAGATAAAGTCAGTGTCAGAAAGGAGGCTTCTTTAAGTCATTGAAGAAAAAGGATGGAGGAAAAGGGGGCACCTGTGGGAAAGTCAGTTTCAGATGCATCTTATCTGCCCAGACAACCACTGGTTTCAGGTTTCTGCTGGTGGAGCAGTATTAGAAAACACAGCTTAGGGATGGCCCCGAGGGAGGTCCAAGTCATGATGTTGAGATGGCGGCGAACGAGAACATCAGAAACTTCGGGCTGGCATCTTCTGTGGCCATGGGCAGAGATCTACTCAGGCTGCTGTCCAAGTTCACTCTGCTGGGCAGAAAGGAGCTGATTTATGTATCCAGCAGGTATGCCAGAGAAAATTCAAATTGATCAAAAATTAAATATTCATAGGACATTATTCATTAAGATTCATCTCACCGAGTGGATGAAATGAGGCAAGGGAAGAAATTAGCTTGCTTGAGAGTGTCAAAGTGATTATGTGATTAAATTGCAATTTATAATTTCTCCTTCAAAAAAAAGCATTACTTCTTGATTTGTGTTTCTCCTCTTGCTGTGCTCCCTTGTTGTCTAGGTCTGAGCCAAGGACACTCAGGGTTAATTGGAAACAGGAAGGCTCCTAACACGGTGCCTGATCTGCCTCCACTGCCCTTCCCCATCCAGCACTGACTCGGAGAGAGGAGCCTTTCCACCCAGCCTCAGGGTTTTGCTCTTGATGCTGAGAACAGGGCTTCCAGAAGCAGAGACCAAACAAATCCCCACAGTGCCACTCCGCAGGGGAATTTTCCAGCCTCAGGCCACTGTCTCTCCTTCCTCCACAAGAGAAAAGCTACAAAGTACAATTTCCCTGTAGCTCACCAGTCATCCCTGTAGGGCATACCTGAATGGTGTGTAGGGAAGTCCCTCCTGGCCACCTTCTACACTTAAAGAGAAGGGAGACGTTCTTCCTGCACTCTTGGCCTCCCCCCTGAACGTGATGTGGAGTTAGGCAAAGCCTCCTGCAGGCAAAGCCCGGGTCAGGTGCTTGACTCTTGAAGCTGGCCAGCTGAGATGCCATCCTCACTTCAAGGTCAACAAGCCAGTTCCTCAGCTCCTGCCAACAAAGATCCCCAGGGAAACTGAACACCAAGGTGCAAGAACCCAACAGGTTCAGGCAACAGGTTCAATTCAGGTGTTCTTGGGTAACCCACCTCTTTTACCAACTGGCATATCCACTCTACCATACCCCCTTTCTGGGGGACTCTCTACTTGGGCTAAGCCTGAATCCAGAGAAGAACCAGGAACACTCCCAAAGGCTTGCCACCAGAGGCCAGGCAGCTTTAATTCTCCAGCTGTGCTCTTCTGAGCCCTGAAGACCCAGAAGACACAGGGCCGGCCCTGTGGGGGGAGAGGGGAGGGGCTTAGGGAAGCAGCAAGATCCAACTGGGGCAAGCTCCCCTTTCATCTGCTTTATATATGGCGCTTCCATGTATGATTTCATTTCAGGGAAAGGTTTTGCTGCTAAAAATAATTTTTAAACCACTGAATTAGATGACCTCTCACAAACCCCTTCCAGTCCAGGAGCCTCTGATTCTCTGACTTCAATGATATGGAAGCAAAATGTACTCTGAACTCAACAAAGCCTCTATTTTCTGCTATCTCTCACTCCTAAGAAACACAATCTATCTGTCTCTCTGTCTGCCTAGGATCCAGAGTGTAGCTAAGGTGACATGGATAGGCATGGAGGCAGATGGCTAGCTGCATTTATCTTTCTCTGTCACTCTATTTCCTTCCATCTTGGCCTCTCGCTGTCTCTGTAACTCTGTGTCTGTCTCTTGCTACTACCCAATAAAGATTTAAAGGCTGGTTCCAGCAGCTGAGAACGGCGATATTAATTCCAAGCTTGTTTCCAAACACCACGGAGGCCTACCCGGGTTAATTAGTTGTGCAGGCTTTTCCACAAGTGAGCGAGCCAGCAGGGTTTTTTACAGCTCTGTCACTGTGTTTATTTGTTCATTTTCTGTTTTATTTGGAAATGCATTTATGTGACAATAAATAACATCCGTCATGACTAGAGCCGATAAAGGCAATGAACAGCCCCTTCAGGGCCGTGGGGACAATAGTGACAAGGCTTCAAGATCCGGTCCCCCTACTCCAAGGGGCACTACTAGCCCTTGTCAGAGATGAAGAGGATGTGGGTGAAACCCACAAGGCCAGAAGAAGAGACAGGACCAAGGGCCGTGGACATAGCTAAAAGCAAGAAAGGAAATGCCCATTGGGGAACAGAGACCACAGCAAGGAGTCAGGAGCCTGAGGCTCTTGGTGAATGGCAGGTGGAGGCAAAAGATTTGGCTCTGGACCCCAGTTCCAGCACATACAAGCTGTGTAACCTCAGACAAGTTGCTAACCTCCATGCCTCCGTTTCCTCACCCATAAAATAGGAGTGATGACAACACTCTGCTCAGAGTGGTTGCAAATATATCTAGGAGACAATGAAAGGAAATGTACTATACAAACAATACGGATTCTCATTTTTCAGATTAGAAGCGTTTCTCAGGAGTATATGCTTAGGATTCTAGGCCTCCTTGGGAAAAAATCATCTAAAATGTTAGAGCAGGATTTGTCCTTTTGTCCAAAGGGTCTGTGCTAATGACTTCTACAGGACCACACAGTTTGGCCCATTTATAAGTTGACCACAATCTCACCATGGCTAATTTAGCTCTTGCACAAGCCCCAACCGGGAAGATTCTATTAGTCTAAACAAAAAAAAAAATTATGAGGAGTACTTCACTGTGATCCACATATATTTATTTAAGGCTTTCGGGATAAGGGACGAGGAGAAGTGAGGAGGCAGAGGGATCACAATATGAAGCCAAGCAGGCAGAAGAGAACGTCGGCAGAGGGTGGAACCTCCGAGTTCAGAGTCCCTCTTTACATCACTTTCTGACCACAGACCTTAGAGATGCTATTTAATATTTCTATCTCGGTTTAGTTTTCTCATCTGTAAAATGCGGACAGTGACGGTACCTAGCTCATTGGACTGCAGTGTGAGGAGATGAGATGAAGTATGTGACATGCTTGGGACAGTAGATGACACATGGAAGAGCACCATAAACACTAGCTAGCCTCAAAACACGCAAAAACTACTGAAGAGACATTTCAGTCGCCGGCACATGAACTTACCACCAATTGAGAGCCTGGGTGCTGAGCATGTCCAATGGTGGGATTTAATCAAGAAATCCTTCCAGGAGGAAAGACAACTCCAACACAGGTTAGAAGAGAAGGGGGGAGAGCCCAGCCGGCAGCTAGGCAAGTCCTAGCATGTCTTCCCATGATGCTAGACCCGCAGCCGAGAGGAGCCAAGGAACCCCATAGCATTACCAGCAAGCCGCCAGCAGATGGAGCCAGCCACCTCCACACACTGCTGCTCAAGGCATCAGCACCCTCTAAAGGGACTGGCACCCAGCCACCTCCAGTCAGGAGCAGGACTGAGAGAGACCGAGGGAGAGTTACCCTCTTCACCCCTGTGAAGACTACAGAGGTGCTTTCCTGCGCCAGTGTGAAGGGAGAGGGAATCCAGACCCTCCCTGATGCCTCAGAGGCACAGATCGCTGTCAGAGTCCTTGCCATTCTGGGATCCTAGGACTACAGCCCAAGGCCTTTGTTGTCCGCCTCTCCACGGTGGGAAGGAAAAGCAGGATGCCTGATGAAGGTACTTTGAGGACTGGGACTGCATTTGAATGTAGAGACCGGTACCCACCTGAGTCCGGGAGATTCTGAAAGCCAGAGGCCCACTACAGTAGCCCATCTAGTAGGGCTCGAAGGACCCTGGTGCAGCATGACTTGGAAGAAGATGGGGGCAGCACTCCCTTCCCAGGACTGTGGGGCCCTTGAAGGATTATGGGAGAGGATTCCTGCAGGGTCTGTGGCTCCACGTGGAAATATGCACGGAAGTCAGTGGAAAGACAGAGCTGAGGGTTTGCCCAGGTACCCAAGGCCAAGTCAACAAACGGTCGTTGGGTGCCTGTACCACTGTTGAGGATAAAGGGAGGTGCGTCTGTGTGAAGGGAGGAGGGGGAAAGGGTGGTTTTCAGTGATGGGGGAAGGTGGGGTGAGATCTTCAGCATCTAACAGAGCCACAAAGAACTAGGAAGGGGTAAAGGACACTCCTGTAAAGAGGCCTCTTACTCTCCATCCCTCCTCTCTGCCCAAGTAGATGCTGAGGCCTCGAAGAGGGAGATGAGGCACCTTCAAGGCAGGCCCTGCCTCTGCTCCACTGCTTCAAACAGCCAGGACCCTACTCTAGCTTTCACTGGAGGGAAAGGGAGAGAAGAGCTCTGAATTGAATTTGCGATGAAAGTTTTAAAAATATAAGAAGCTGAGTCTTAATTACTGGAATGAGACTGTTATAGTAACCGAAAGTGGCTGAAAAGTTATGGAACCAGACCAAGACACCGTTAAGGGAGCGGCTCCTCAGCAGGAAAGAGAGATCTGGCACAGCACAGCCAGGGCAGTTACTGGAAGAAATAAAATCGTTTCATGCCTATACCCCGACGAGTTGAGACTCCCCAGTGAATCAGGCACACGGGAAGTACCCAGGCCTTGGAGATCAGTGTCCCTATAGTCAGAGTACCCCGTGAAGGATGACGTGGTGCGCATCCTCTTCTTCCCATTCAGGTCCCGTCTCACCTCCCAGGACAAGTGAAGCAGGAAGGATTTGTCCTCAGGCTTTAACGAGGCACTTAGAAAGAGGAACAGGATGGTTTCTTCTACCAGGAATCCTCAATGGAATGCAGGCGCAGGCAGCTGAAAGAGATGGTGCAATGTTCATACTTCTGGTGGATTCCAGGAAGCATCAGCCCCATTTCACCCAAACATCAGCCAGTGGACTCTGCCTGGGAGGGTCAACAGCCACAGAGAGTTTTCTGTCTCCAGCTGAGAAAGTCCAGAGATGAACAAGTCAAGGGACAACACAAGCCCTAGGACACCATGGCAGTATATCCAGATCAGGAAACTGCCCCAGGGGCTTGGTTCCCTACTGGAAATTGAAAGAAAACGAAGTTTATAAAGAGCAGGGTGGGAACTGGTTTGCAGAACAGAATGTTCCCTTGGCTTATTTCCATCTGGGGGAAAGGGCAGAACTAATACTTATTGAATGCCTGCGCTGAATCAGGCACTGTGTTCATTCCTGTCTTATTTAATCCTCCCACAACCCTGTAAGGAAAGCATTTTCTCCATTTCACAGATGAAAAAATTGAGGCAGCCTGTAATCCCAGCACTTTGGGAGGCCGAGGCAGGTGGATCACGAGGTCAAGAGATTGAGACCATCTTGGTCAACACGGTGAAACCCCGTCTCTACTAAAAATACAAAAATTAGCCAGGCGTGGTGGCGCGCACCTGTAGTCCCAGCTACTCAGGAGGCTGAGGTAGGAGAATTGCTAGAACCCAGGAGGCGGAGGTTGTGGTGAGCAGAGATCGCGCCACTGCACTCCGGCCTGGGTAACAAGAGCAAAACTCCATCTCAAAAAAAAAAAAAAAAAGAAAGAAAGAAAACACACTGAGGCAGAGTGGTTGCCTGAGGTCACATGTTGGAATTTGAACTTCATGCTTGTCTGTGTGGTAGAACCGGCGATTCCATGCTCACATGGCCCCTTCACTAAAGGACTCACTCTCCTGCTACCTAGAATGTTGGTTTTATTTGGCCCCAGCAATTAGTTCCTTCAGGGACCACCTCAGTTTTTGAGCCACAGTCTCTCTTCCTTTTAAAAAAATAAATAAATAAATAAATAAATAATTTTTTTTTTTTTTGAGACGGAGTTTCGTTCTTGTTGCCCAGGCTGGAGTGCAATGGCGCGATCTCCACTCACGGCAACCTCCACCTCCCGGGTTCAAGCGATTCTCTTGTCTTACAGGTGGCGCACGCGCAATCCCAGCTACTCAAGCTACTCCCCGAGCCCAGGTAGCTGGGATTACAGCCATGCGCCACCACACCAGGTTAATGTTTTTTGTATTTTTAGTAGGGATGAGGTTTCTCCATGTTGGTCAGGCTGGTCTCGAACTCCCGACCCCAGGTGATCTGCCCGCCTCGGCCTCCCAAAGTGCTAGGATTACAGGTGTGAGCCACCGCGCCGGATCCCACAGTCACTCTCTTCTTAAGGCAGCCACCAGCCAATGGCTGAGCAAGGTGGTAGTTCAAGGGCCCATCCCTCTTCTGCCAATGCGGAACTCCTCTAACAAGCGATTTTTGCTTGGAGTACCCTGTTAGACTGGCAGAGGCTTTGTCAGGTCTGCAGCAAAGGCCGAGAGCTCCTCCTAGCCAAACTACTTCCTCCCTTTTCCATGCACGGGTGATCCTCCCTTTGCACTCCTACCTCTGTTGCAGCATCTGGTTCCGGATAACCCAGTTGAGACTCCCAACAGCCTGACTGCAAAGCTTTCCCTTTTTCTGACACTAACATCATTTTCACTGTCCTTAGGTAACATTGCTGCAGTGCAGAGAGTGAGCTCCCTCTTGGTAGCAGGGGCTTCCCCCTTTCCAGAAGAAAGCTACTAATGGTTGGGTGATTAGGGCAGTTCCCAAAGAGTTAGTTATATCCTTGAAGATTAGGTGCTCAATGCCCAAAGGCAGTCTCAAACATTCATCCTTTGAGGTCTAAAGTGCAAGTAAAGAGTCTACTCCCGGCTTTCACTCTTTCCCTCATATCAATTCCACCCTCTTAAATTGCTGCAACATGGAATTAAGATATGTAGTTTTTTTGTTTTTTTCTGAGACGGAGTTTCGCTCTTGTTACCCAGGCTGGAGTGCAATGGCGCGATCTCGGCTCACCGCAACCTCCGCCTCCTGGGTTCAGGCAATTCTCCTGCCTCAGCCTCCTGAGTAGCTGAGATTACAGGCACGCGCCACCGTGCCCAGCTAATTTTTTGTTATTTTAGTAGAGACGGGGTTTCACCATGTTGACCAGGATGGTCTCGATCTTTTGACCTCGTGATCCACCCGCCTCGGCCTCCCAAAGTGCTGGGATTACAGGCTTGAGCCACCATGCCCAGCCCAAGATATGTAGTTTTATTATTTGGTGTGCTTAACCGAAAAAGCTTTGTGATTTCTGAGTTTAATTTAAAAAGCAGATGGTCATAAGCAACAAAAGAAAAATATATATAAATTGGACTTCATCAAAACCAAAAATTTTGTGCTTCAAAGTACACCATCAAGAAAGTGAAAAAATAGGCCAGCACCCATAATCCCAGCTACTCAGGAGGCTGAGTCAGAAGGATCACTGGAGCCCACCAGTTCAGGGCCAGCCTGAGCAACATAGCAAGACCCCATCTCTAAAATAAGAATAACAGCGAAGAAAGTAAAAAGACTACCCAATTAAAAATAGGCAAAGAATTTGAATAAACATTTTTCCAAGTCAAATACACAAATAGCCAACATGCGCATGGAAGGACGTTCAGCATCATTAGTTGTTAGGGTAATACAAATCAAAACCAGAATGATACATCACTTCATATTCACTAGCATGGCTACAGTCTTTCACATGGACAATAACAAGTGTTGAAAAGAATGTTGAGAAACTGGAACTCTCATGCATTGTTGGTAAAACTACAAAGTAGTATGGCTGCCTTGGGAAACAATCTGGCAGTTCCTCAAAAAGGTAGATAAAGAGTTACCATATGACCCAACAATTTTACTCCTAGGTATATATCAAAGAGAATTGAAAACATGTGTTCACATAAAAACTCATACTCACATGTTCATAGAAGCATCATTCGTAATTTCCAAGAAGTAGAAAGACCCAGATGTCCACCAATTGATGAATGGATAAACCTAATGAATTATATCCATACAAAGGGATATTATTCAGCCACAAAGAAGAAGGAAATACTGATACATGCCACAGCAAGGATGAACCTTGAAATCATTATGCTAAATAAAGAAGTCAGGCTGAGCGCCGTGGCTCACTCCTGTAATCCCAGCACTTCGGGAGGCTGAGGCGAGCAGATCACCTGAGGTTGGGAGTTCAAGACCAGCCTGACCAACATGGTGAAACCCCGTCTCTACTAAAAATACAAAATTAGCCAGGTGTGGCAGCGCATGCCTGTAATTTCAGCTACTCAGGAAGATGAGGTAGGAGAATCTCTAGAACCTCGGAGGTAGAGGTTGCAAGTGAGCTGAGATCATGCCATTGCACTCCAGCCTGGGCTAAAGAGCAAGACTCCATCTCAAAAAAGAAAAAAAAAGAAAAAGAAAATAAGTCAGATATTAAAGGCCACACATTGTATGATGCCACTTAGGTTAAATGTCCAGAATGGGCAAATCCCTAGAGACAGAAAGTAGATTAGTGGTTGCCTGGGGCTGGGAGGAGGGAAACATGGAAAGTGACCGCTTGATGGGTATAAGGTTTATTTTAAGATGGTATTAGATAGTGATGATGGTTTCACAACTTTGTGAATATAATAAAAACCACTGAAATGTGCAATTTTAAAGGGTAAATTTTATGATATGTGAGTTATATCTCAATAAAAACGTTTTTAAGCTGCTGAATTGAATATTTTGCATTTCCCTAAGGAAACCAAACCACTTCAATTATGGTGGCTTATTAAGTGACCTTTGCCTGATTTCCTTCCCACCAAGCCCATGGTCTTTGATAAAATTAAACTGCCTATCCTTGGTCTAAGAGGCTCATATTTCAGATTCTTCAGAACAGAGGCCAGATTAAAGTCATTAAAGCTTTAGTTTAGGGGAGAAAAGAAGAAAGATAGCTGGAACTGTGAAAAGCCAGAGGTGGCATTCAGGACAATCAGGAGAACAGATCAGTCAACCAGAGAACAGAAATACGAGTCTGTCCTTTCTCTTAGAAAATGATGTTGTTCTCAACATCAGGGTTTGGAGAACAATCCAAAAGACAAAGGTCCTCTGGCCAAAGCTCGGTCCAGCACTTTGGATCCATTTCCAACAGTTCTTACAGTCATCAGACCCCAACAGTCAAAATGGTGAAGCAGAAGAGCAAGTCTGCTTTTCAGGAAGGCGTGGCTGCTGCAGGGGATAGACTTGTAGTAGCTGACTTCTCAGCCACACGATGTGGGCCTTGCAAAATGATCAAGCCCTTCTTTCATTCCCTCGCTGAAAAGAATCCCAGCATAGTAGTCCGCAAAGCAGATGTGGATGACTGTCAGGATGTTTGCTTCAGGGGTTGAAGAAATGACTATCTTCCACTCTATCTTCCAGCATTTTAAAAAGGAATGAAAGGTGGCTGGGCTGCAGTTTTTGGAGCTAATAAGGAAAAACTTGAAGCCACCATTAATAAATTAGTCTAATCATGTTTTCTGAAAACAATATGAGTCATTATTTATTTAAAACTTGTAGTTTTTTTTTATTTACAAAAATATGAAGTGTGGAGACTATATACCCAACTGCCATCTGATTCTAAATGACAAACAAATATTAACTCTACCCAAAAAAAGCTCTCTGGCCTTATAGGAATAATTCTTTCCTGATATGAGGTCAGTGCCTCGTCCAAGTTGTGAACTAGACTCACCCATAAATGTCAAGAAAGGATCCAAAGCTATGAAGCATCACGTCTTCATAATGAACAATGGATATGTCTCGTTAAGTTTATGAGATGGTCACATCTTATTTAAAAAAAAATAACTAATGACCCACACATATAAGAACAGCTGATTTTTGACAAAAATGCAAAGGCAACTTAGCAGAGAAAGGACAGCTTTTCAACAAATGGTGCTGAGATTGTTGGATATCATATTAAAAAATAAAAATAAGGAGTCTCTCTGAGCATGCTCTGGCTTAGGAGGCTGTCCAAAGATAAAAAGATTAAATTAAAAATAACTAAAAATAAACTTCAATCTACACATTTTACTACATACAAAAATTAATTCAAAAGAGATCATAGAGCTAAATGTAAAACCTAAATCTATAAAACTTCTTTCAAAATAGAAGAAAAATTTGTGTGAACTTGAGTCTCAGGTAAAAATTTCTCAGCTGTGGCACCAAAAATACAATCCATACAAGAAAAAAAATGATAAATTGGACTTCATCAAAACTAGAAATGTTTCTCTTCGAAAGACACTGCTAAGAGAAGGAAAAGAAAACCCACACATTTGAAGAGACTCTTTGCAGAGA